AATGAAGTATCAATATAACATTGTTAGCTTAGCCATTCCCTAAGTATTTGCCCTATTTACAAGGCTAAACTGACAAATGTAAAATCCTTTATAAAACTATAGATATTAATATAAAATTCTGTATAAAGTACAAATTAATATTGACTTGTATAGATATTTAGCTTTGTTCAACTCAGAGCATCATAAAATGTGACTGGCACATTCATAATAATTCCCTGCTAAATGAATTATTAATTCAAAATAAGACAAAGCGACGTAAGTTTAAATATTTCTAACAAAATATGTTTATCTGTATATAACAGCTGCTAAGACAACTTATGCCCTTTTACTGGAAATCACATATAAATTGCTTAATTGTATGGTTAAAACAGACTTTTCTTACCAGTATCTTTATGACCTTTAAGGATATACAGTGGTGTAGGCTTGTCCAAAGTGAAGATACAAATATTGCTGTCATTACCACCAGTAGCAATTAATCCACGGGGGTAAAGGTCACTTGGAGGGATGACACACACACAAGAAACGAAATTGGAATGGCCGCTCAAGCAGTGCATTTCATGAAATCCTCTGTTTGGACTAAAAATAAATACCAAATTTACAACCAAAATCAGATCAACAAATCAAATAAAACTTCTAGGTATTAATATACTGAAGAGATGAGAGAAACCTTTTGAGACAGAAAATTAAAATACAGTATACTTTATTAACGTGTCATAGTTCCTATTTTCTCCGCAATCCAAGAATACAATTTTCTTTGTAAATCCTAACGCTTTTGGAATACATTTGAAATGGAAACAATCTAAAACATGGGTGTAAAACGTGTTGCGTCATGTTGCTGTCACATGACATTTCACAACGTTTTTCCCCTTTACGGAGCTGGGATAGGCGTGGCTTGCGCGTGATGCATCTGGACTGCAGGCCGCCAGTTTGACACCCGATTATAAACAGATGAACATCAGATTTAATTTGTTGTTTTTTAAATGAGCTACGGAATCCCCCAGGATTTTCAATTGAGTTCCAGCTAAATAAAGGTAGTCCTTGACTTACAACCACAATTAAGCCCAAGATTTCCTCTACTAAGCAAGACAGTTAAGTGAGTTTTACTACCTTTCTTGCCATAGTTAAACGTATCACTACAATTATTAAGTTAGTAACATGGTTATTAAGTGAATCTGACTTCATTTACTTTGTCAGAAGGTCCTAAAGGTGTTTACATCACCCAGGGACACTGCAACTGTCATAAATACACGCCAGTTGCCAAGTGTCTGAATTTTAATCACGTGATCATGGGGATGTTGCAATGGTCGTAAGTGTGAAAAACAGTCATGTCACTTTTTTTATAACTTCGAACAGTCACTAAATGAATGGCTGTAAGTCAAGGACTAACTGTACAACAGGTTTGATTTGTAATTGTTCAATATATTTGTTTAAGCTGAAAGCATTATCCCATTCACTGGAAGGCAAAGAGAAAAAAATGCACCAGACCAAGGAGATGTGAAGAAAAAGGATATATGTACTTTATTGCAAATAATTCAGTTATAATTCAATATATTGCAAATAATTCTGTGATTGTCTTGAAGAACTTATTTTTCAGGGGAACTATTATGACACAAACCACAAGGACCTAATTTAAACTTTATAAGCTGAAACATCTTCCTTTTCTTCTTCTCACTTCCTTTAGTCAGCATGTTTTTCATTTCTCCAATGGCACAATGGTTTCTATTTTTCCAATGAATACATCAAATAACTTCTACTCAGGTTTTTCATATGTATATCTAGTCAAATGTAAATGAATTACATTTACAGTATTATTCTGAAAACCACTATTCTTAAAAAAAAACAGATTCAAAGCTTACAGAAGTTAAGTAACAACAGCAATAATATATTTAAGCAAATAGTTTGGGAAAATATTTGAGAAGCAAACCTGAGAATAATTTCTAATAATGAATTTATACTGACGATGCATGTAACACAAGCACTGTATTTTTGTTGTAGGTTTGTAAGAAATCCTGGGACTGTCATTATAAATTTCAGAAAACTGGGCTTTTATATTACAACATATAAAAGTTCTGTCTTCCACTACAAAAGCCAGATCTGGTGCTGCTTCTGGTTGAAATCAAACATCGGTCAATTTCTTTTGGTGCGTTCATAAGGCGACTGAAAACATTGGTTTCTATTTCCATAAAGGCATCGATGATGCATATTTGCTGGGACTATCTAGATATGCACACGGATGAGCATCTAGACAACTTTTTTTTTTTTTTGCTTTTTTTTTTTTTAAACACTACGGCCCCTTTACGAAGACAAGTAAAGCACTATCCGTCCTGGTTTCTGGACCTCAAATTCTCAGAAGCACCTACCAATTATTACGCTGGCTACGTCTGATGAGAGCTGTAGTTCAAACTATCTGGGACCATCAACCTCTGATATAGTAAAAAAACAGGAAAAAAGTAGTAATTTGGACAGATTTTCAGCCAAGACCCTCGCATATTGTCCTAACCGTTGAGGTCCCCAAACTTGGCAGCTTTAAGACTTGTGGACTTCAACTCCCAGTCCACAAGTTTTAAAGCTGCCAAGTTTGAGGACCTCTATTCTAACTTGGCCAATTGTTCCAACTCCCTTCCGATTTCTCTCCCAATGGATCGAATCACGGCTGTGCCATTTCAGAAGATGGTAGGGGGGGGGGGGGAAGCCCATCAGATCTCACACTGCACGCTGGCAAGGCAAAGAGCGCCCCCAACCCCTAGAGGACGCCTTTATCCCCACCCCACCCCCACCCCGGCACTTTCTTGGGCTTTCCCTTTCTCAGTTACTACCGTACTAACCTGTTCGGAGCCCAGACACGCGCCGTCCGGTCTCGGGATACGGACACGAACGACCCTGTCGGGAAGAGGCAGCAACTGAGGCCCCGGACGTCCAGCTCGTGCCCAACCAGGGAGCAGCGGAGCCGGTAAACACCTACCGGGGTGGCCATCCCGCCCGCACTCAGGTATTATATACACTGACACAGCACCAGCAGCGGCACCACCGGCAGCCGTCACCACACCCGCTTCCCTTCCTCTTCCCACCCACTTTCTGCTTCCCTCCCCCCCTCCCCGTACAACGTCACCGCCAAGCGCCGGAAAACAACGACGAACCACAGTTCTCTGCGGCGAGAAACAGGCGAGGACTACATATCCCAAGGTGCCTTAGAAATCAATAAGGACGGAAGGAGATCTACCTAGAACTAGGGAGCGGGGGGAGTGAGGCCCCCTAGTTTTCTTATTAACGGGGCGGGGTGGGGGCGGTCTTGTGTTTAACATTCGTTGTATATCCCAAAGGTGCTTTTTCCAAAGGCAACTGGACTTTCTTGTTGTTGTTTTTTCCTTTGAAGACTTTTCGCTTCTCATCCGAGGAGCTTCTTCAGCTGTGACAGGATGGTGGGGAATGGAAGGATTTCTATTCCTTGCAGACAGCTGGTCATTTGCATCCTTTTTAGAGGGTCCTTGAAGCACTTGGAGGTTTATCTGTGTCCTCAGGGTCACCTGAGTAGTGCTCCTGGTTCCTGTAATCTGCATTTTTCTTCCCCACTGGAAATCCATTCCTATTCCTACACCATTCAAAAGGTGTTCATCTCAAATTGTATAGCTAAAAGTTTAAAACGTTTTTTTCAGGAGGCAACTGGACTTTCTTGTTTTTTCTTTGAAGCTCCCTTCCTGGAAGGATTTATGGATTTATTAATGGATTTATTAAATCCTCCCATTCCCCCACCCTTCAATCAGAACTAAACAAACTTCTTGGATGAGAAATGTCTTCAAAGAAAAAACACGAAAGTCCAGTTGCCTCCTAAAAATGCACCTTTGGGACAACCATGACCTGGATGCCTGAGAATCTCTACAGACATTCCTTGTATATAAGTCAATAAGCACTACCATAACAAACCCAATGTAGGATTTAGGCAACGGGGAAAGGTAGTGCGTGCTGGTGGTTTGGTGGAAGCAGGTGACGGCAAACCACTTCTGAAATCTTGCTGGAAAAACTATAGAGACTTTATTCAGGCGGTCGCCAGGAGTCCACAACTGACTTGAAGTCATACGCACCTCCCAATTGTTTTGCAATGAATGGATCTTAACTTCCTTTCACTAGATTTAGGTTTGCTACAACTTTCTTGTGTGATGTATCATCTTTTTAACATGAGTAGTGAGTTTATTTTCAGAGCACTAGCTCTGACAATATAACAACAGCAGCATCATTAGGGTACCAGACTGTGCTATATAAATAAACAGGCCGTCATTAAAAAGTGGAATTGTGTATATGAAGAAACGGACACATTTCTACTCATATGAAAAGTGATAATTACATGAGCAGGAAGATACTAGTCCTGTGAATATTTATGTTATCCAATATGTAATATTGTTATAAATAATAATATATAATAAATAGCAATAGCATTTTGACTTATATACCGCTTCATGGTGCTTTACAGCCTTCTCCAAGTGGTTTACATGTAACAATGTAACATAACATAACCACATAATATAATATATGTGTAATATATAATAATATAGTAGTATATAATATAATAGTATAGTATAGTATAGTGTAATACAACATGTGTTTATTACTTTATTAGATTTATGTGCTCCCCATCTCACTTAGAGGCGACTCTAGTTAAAATATAATGTTATACTATATAGTATAGTATAGTATATTTTAACTAGAGTCCCCTCAGTGAGATGGGGAGCACATAAATCTAATAAAGTAATAAACATGTATTATGGGTGTGGGGGGGGGGATGGAATCTCGCGATAAAATACGTGAAGGAACGCGTGCTGTCTAAGTTCCGGAATGATGAAAGGAAAACGGCACTTTAACTGATCTGCCTCCCGTTGCTATGATACAGGCGCCACGCGCTTGAAGGAGTTCGCTGGCAGCAACCGCTGCCTTGGCGTTTCGCGCGTGCTGAGTGTCAGGTAAGAAGCCGAAAGTCGAAGCGCGGAGCAAAAGGGGCGTCTTTAGATTCGTCTGCCTGACTCTCTTCGGGGAGGGTGGGACTAATCCGACAGTCACAGACGCCCCCGGCTGCCCCACCGCAAATCCGCATCAGCATCGCCCCGGTTTTCCGCTCTGACTTTTCTTCGGCATAGACCGGTGTGTAATGGAATCAGATGGGAAAGCCTTGAGGTGACGTGAAGTCCCATCACCATAAATCAGGTCATTTGTCTGGATAGTTATTCGACAAACCACTAGAGGCTTACAAAGTGCCAAATGTAAATTAGAGATGGCAAAGCAGATTGATTGCAGATCTTAAGCCAAAATAAGCTCTGCCAGTGTTTCTTAAACTTTTCTCTCACTTTAAAAAGCAATGGAAAACTCCCAAAGAGCTTTGTTTGTATAGGATATATTCGTCAATACAGGTAGCCTTTGATTTAAAACAGTTCATTTAGTGACGGTTAGAAGTTACAACAGCTCTGAGAAAAGCTATGTTATGACCATTTTTCACACTTACAACCGTTTCAGCATCCCAATGGTCACGTGATCAAAATTCAGACATTTGGCAACGGACTCATATTTATGACGGTTGCAGTGTTCCAAGGTCATGTGATCACAATTTGTGACATTTTGACAAGCAATGTCAATGTGGAAGCCAGATTCACTTACCAACCGTGTTACTATCTTAACAACTGCAGCCATTCAGCTAACAACTGTGGCAAGAAAGGTTGCAAAATGGGGCAAAATTCACTTAACAATTGTCTCACTTAGCAACAGAAATGTTGGACTCAGTTGTGGACATGAGTTGAGGACTACCTGTATTTACTATTGAAAATTAAAATCAATGGATTCGCTACCACTGCCCCTTCTCACAAGTGTTTGATGGGATTTTAATATTGTATTATTTTTGTCCATAAGGTGGCAAATAATTTTGATTTCATGGACCTTTGGAAGGGATCCTCAGACCACACTTTCATAAACCTGAAACTATGGCGTTTTCTGCAATAGCATACAAATTATCCAGTATGGAAGCTGGCATGAATGTCTGCAAGCTTAAATAACTTGTGACCAAATTTCTAAGCTCTCTTTTGCCGTGGCAATGAAGCAGAATAATTCTCTACCAAATGAGAAGCTCAGTAATAAACACCTTTAGTGTCAACTACTGGCAGTAGAAGACTTATAGGTTTTCTGTCGGTTATCTGATCATTCTGTTGGATTGAGGAACTCTCACCAAAGGAGTTATTTTCTGCCACGCTTCTACCCCGTCTTCTCTTGCCACACTTGAGAGGGAGCAGATTTTATTTTTCTTTATTGCAAGCATTGCTGACAGGAAGGGATAAGGAGGGAAATGGCTCTTTAGCTGGACCCCCCCCCCCCCAATCTATTCCCCCGCACACCAAAACTGCCTTTACATAGGGGATAAATTTCTGCAGTGCTTAATCCACTGGAATGCTTTTTGACATGTGCTCAGTGAGTTTACAGAAAGCTACATGTTGTCAAAAAGTATATAGCAGACCCACGGGTTAGGTGTTGGTCTGTCACAGGTCTAGGTAGATAGCTGAGGTTAACAGAAGGGAAGGGAAGTTCCCCTCACACATTTCTCTTCCTCAACGGTTATCTGGTCCCATGGATGTATTTTTCTATGGGATAGGAGAATTGGAAGTTAAAGAGCCACTTCCCACTGCACCCCATCCCAGTAGATAAATACTTGTCTTGCCATCCCTTCAAGTTTGGAAATCTGCGACCAGCCACAGCAGAATTAATAAGAGAAGCAGGAGAGCCCTGATTCTCCTGCTGTCAAGACCAAATGCTATGAAATCATTTCATTTGTTCCCCTTGAAGATATAAACAAGGTGCTTAGATAAGCTTGGGCTACCACTGGTCTGTTGACCCTGCTCTCTCTTGGTTGGTTCTGACTGGGACAAATCTATTAATGTTCTTAAATGTTATTCTGGTTGTCCCATAGATGCTTTTCGAAAGGGAACTGGACTTTCTTTGTTTTTTCCTTGAAGACATTTCTCATCCAAGAAATTTCTTTAGTTCTGATTGAAGGGTGGGGGAATGGAAGGATTTAATAAATCCATTAATAAATCCTTCCAGGAAGGAAGATATAATGTCAAATTCCCCTCCTGAAAATTAGCAAACAGCACAGAAATAATGCAAACCATTATCACTATGGTAAACTTAAGTGCCAGGTATACTGAATTATACAATATGGAAAATAACCACTTATTCATTAACTTATAATTTAAAAAATGTTCACTCAATATACTCCTTCTTTAATAAACCATGTTTTGTCATTTTGACAGCCCCCATGATTTATAATTATCACTATACAAGTACCCAAATATCAGCATTAATGTGCATCATTTTATCATTCCGTGCCATTTTTAATTTATTTTTAACTTTGTCCCTTTCAGTAATTGCTCTCAATGCAATTGAGATAAACTATTTCTTTTCCTAAAGATTGTTCTTTATTGCATATACACAAGATTTGTGATTCTTATTTAAAATATGGAGAGCATGTTATTATTTTCTTAAAAAATAATTGGCTTATTAGACAAATCAGAGTTATCTATTCATTAAGGAGGATTCTGGATAAAATGCAATTGTCTTTTTCTAGAAAGAAATTTGAAGAAAAGACTAGAAATGGCGAGTAATCATAAACCTCCTACAGCACGTCCTTCTTCACGAATAGGCCTGAGTGCCAGGCCACCTTCATCCTCATTACGACCTCCATCCGCAGCATTACTTGGTGGAGGGGTAAGTTAATATATTGAAAAACCAAGGAATCAGAGTTCCCCCTTTCCAATTTAGATATATAGTAGTCACTGATATGTTTTGCTAGGCAAATGATATTAAGGCAGTTCTACATATTTATTTGTGTCAAGGAGATTACTACCCTCTCTGTGTGCCAGTATTATGGGAATCTTCCATGCCTGGATAGAGCTTGGATGAGATAACAGCTTTACTTCTCTGGTGTCATACCTTTCTTTGGCTACCACGATCCCCTTTTTAATTCCAGCTAGCATAGTACTCTATACTGTATACATAAAGGTCTAAAATAGTACCTTGAGAATTGTAAGGAATAAGTATGTTTTTTGTCTTTGGTTGGGTGTTTATGTGAATCCTGCCAATATTTGTGAATCATGATCTACAAATTATGGTATATTCAGTAACCATAGTTTAACAAACAAATGGCTTAGTTTAATGGGTTAACACACTATCTTGAAGAGGTTCTAAAAGAAATCATTTTAATCATATGAACAGTAGGATCTTAGATTCTTTTCAATTCATTACTTGTTTATGCATATCATATCACTAGCTATTTCACACAGTGTAAAAGCTAATATACATCTTTGCATTTACACAATCTCTACCTGCCTATAACTGCTCTTTCTTTAAATAATCTGTTTTATATAACATTAAAAGCTATGCACTTTTTTAAAATTTCAGTGCCTTAGCCTGTTTATTCATAGGTTACCAATTGGAACAAACTGACCATCCTGTTCTTTGGGAGTGCTATTTTAATTATGTTTTCCTATTTATTTTGATTTCTGTATCAGATGCCCCCAGGTACATCCAGGCCCGGTACACGTGGTGGATCCATAGGAACTGGTGTGGTTTTGTCCTCTCAGATTAAAGTTGCAGACCGTCCAGTGACACAGCAAGGACTGAGTGGAATGAAAACAGGAATGAAAGGTATTTTGAGATATGAAAGTACAAGAACATTAACCTCGTTTATCTTTTTATTTCCATTCAAAGGTTAAAACCATTACAAGGTAAATTTAGCAACCTTCCTAGTTACTTCAGAGGAGAAGTCTGCTAGGTCCAGAAGGCAGTGGATCAGAATGCTACCCATTCCTCTAGAAGTGTCCTCCCCCTTTTTTATTGGCTCCTTCCCTCTTGGGAGGCTAGACTGTTTGTAATTACTTCTTAGTCACAAGATTAGGTTCTTTCACTATTATGAATATTTATACATTCATGTTCCAGAGGATGGAATAGAACATTTTGCCGCTGCCAGATCACTGCCACTGGCTCACCGCCATTGGCTTGCCCTGGCCGGCTCACCACCATGGGTCACCATGGCTTGTTCTAGACAGCTCGCCCCAAACAACGTGTTGCAGGACAACTCACTCTACAAGGACAAGGAGGCAGAGGGGTTGCTGGCCCCAGCCAGACCCGCAATGAGACCCCAGCACTCCAGTACAGTTATCTCATCTGTGGTTAGTTGTCCCGCAGGGTGAGTTGTCCCACAGCGAATCACTCGGGGCAAGCTAGTCACGGTGAGCTGGCTGGGATGAGCCAGCAGTTACAGGCTGGCAGCTGCAGGCCAGTGGTGGATACGCAGGGGCAGTGTACAGTGTATTTAGTTGACCATAACAAAGACTAAAATAGTGTAGATTTTAATATAGACTAAGCAGTATCTTCAATGCTAGATTGAGTCTGGATTCTGTTATCCAGAACAGAAATATATCCAGGGCCTATACCATGTTTACCCCAAAATAAGCCCCAGTGTTTATTTTGGAGCCCCAAAAAATATAAGACCGGATCTTATTTTTGGGGAAACACAGTAGTTTTCTAATTTTATAGATAATATATTATCATTAATATTTTAGGGGGGAAATGCTACATTTTTATCATTAGTAAATAAATATTTTCTCTATATAATAATTTTGTTGTTTTGCAAGAATCATTTTGCTATTTTTAATCAAATCTTTTTGTCATATCAGAATAATATTTTTTTCCTTAGGTCCACAGAGACAAATTATGGATAAATCCTATTACCTTGGAGTGCTTAGGTATGTGAAAGAATTTATCACTAGTTAGATGAGATGGGGTTGGTTCAAATGTTGTATAGAAGTCCATATTTGAAAGAATTGCAGTATCAAGCGGGACATTCTTAATATCTTAATGAGGAGGATGTAGGGTTACAGTACTCTCTCAATATATGAAAATATATTCATTTTCTCATGAAATGAAAGAGGTTCTTGCCATCCTAATAGCAGCTATACTTTATTTGCTTCTTTTCTGTACTATATGATTTGCCTTCCATTTGCTTAAAGCTAGTTCTTTAGCTCATTTTAAATTGCCATCACTTTCTTACTACATAAATAGTGAGGTGGCTATACTCCATACCTGATCTCCTTGCATATTTTTGAGGCTAAAGCAGATTTCCTTCAAGGCATCTTTGTATTTCTTTTCCATGGTTATGTATGCTTATGGTTGGCCATAAATTTTGATTGAATATAATGAGTTTAATGTGTATGCAACTTGTGAACATTTGCTTTTCCACAAATCCAAATTATAGATAACTATATTTGGCTCAGATAATACAGTAAGCCTAAGAGAATAAAATAAGCAAAGGTAATATTATGGTATTATTAGCAAGCTTTTTTGGATTTGCATATCACATATTTACATGAAACTCCCAAACTTTGGATTGTCATAAAGTAAGATTGTAGCTAAACTGGATCTATTTAACCATAGTTGTGAAAACGATATTGTTTTCCAAACTATGATTAAATAGATCCAGCTTAGCAACAATCATATTGAGTAGATTCACAGATAGATTAGAAGTGAAGAAGCCTTGATAGTACAGTGGTTACGCACCCTGTTATTAACACAGCTGCCTGCAATTTACTGCTGGTTCGAATCTTTCCAAGGCTCAAGGTTGACTCAGCCTTCCATCCTTTCTAAGGTAGGTGAAATGAGGACCCAGTTTGTGGGGGCAATAAGCTGACTTTGTATAAATATACAAAAGTATGAAGGCTATTGCTTAACGCATTGTAAGCCGCCCTGAGTCTCCAGAGAAGGGCGGCATATAAATCAAATTAAAAAAAAACAAAACCCTACAGTTTACCTTCCTAGTATGTATGAATTTGACTCATATTTCTTCTTTCTGTCCATATGCTCTTGGTAGCAGAGTCAGTCTAATTAAACACGCTTAGCTATGTTTAATTTAAGGATTTTCATTCTACCATTGTAATGGAAGAATTGATAACTATAAAAACATTTTTTAATAAAGACATCTATACAAAACTGTAATAGTTCTTACCCTAGGAAAAACTAGCTGACCCTAAAATAATACAATATTGTCAAATTGGTCAGTGATAAACATATCCTCTTGTATATTAAATTCATATTTCAGAACACTCACGTGGAAATTTTAAAAGGCCCTATTAAAAATCCTAACTATTTTAAAATTAAAATCAAGATTGCAGGTCCCTGAACAAATCCAATTTAGTGCACATTCTATTTAGTCCTTTATTGTCAAAATGAAAAAGATGTAGTACATTTGGTTCTCTCAAGTACCACTTCAACTTAAATTATATGAAATTTCAGGAATACCAAAGATTTAAGTATACATGTTAATATGATCACCTATTTCTTTTCTTATAGAGGCAAAATAAACGAGCTTACCGCAGAAATCAATAAGCTTCAGAAAGAAGTTGATATGTATAACCAGGAGAATTCTGTCTATCTGTCCTATGAAAAAAGGTAAACTGCACATCAAAATCTATAAATACACTTGTTCTTAGTGGATTCATATTTATGAGTAACTTTTGGATTGGAAGTGTAGAACGGAACTTGTTTTAAATTCCATTCATTGCTAGACTTTGTAATAATCTTGTGTTTTCTTGTGCTCTTAGAGCAGAATCTTTAGCTAGTGAAATCAAAGAATTTCAAGGACAGTTGGCAGACTACAATATGGTATGTTATTGTTTCATAGGTAATTTTTAAAATTTAGATTGAATTATTTAGAGTCAATTTTGAATTGCATTTGTAAATACCTTTCCAACTATTGTTTCTCTAATCTAGTTCAAACCAATGCATATTTAACAGTAACTATTCAAAGCAATAATGCCTTTGATTTTGTTCCTATATGAGATTACATAAAGGCTTAATTAACTTTTCTTTGTTGATTTAGTTGGTAGATAAACTTAACACAAATACTGATATGGAGGAAGTAATGAGTGACTATAATCTGGTAAGCATAAAACTGATGTTTCATTTCAGTATTGGTATTATTTATTGCACATATGATGATGTTACCAATTATTTTGTCTTTTTTAATAGTTAAAAGCTCAAAATGACCGTGAAGCTCAGAGCATAGACATTATTTTTACAGAAAGACAGAGGTAAGTACCTAAATGCATTTTTAAAAAAATGTAGAATGGAATTTTCATATGCGTTCCATTTTGCCCAATGTATATTTTCAATTATTTGAAGAAGTCTTTCACAATTTGCATATTTACCACACTAAAAAACAATCGTAGTCACAAGAATTGGCATAAATATTGTGAAGCAGCTCTTATTAAGTGCGGAGTAATTCAGAGCAGTCAGTGGCCTCTGAAGGTACAGTAGAAGAGAGCAGATTGACAAAAGCAGTGCTCCACAATCACAACCACATTCCCATGTACACAAATTTTTATTTATATTTCCTATTTCTTAACTCAGAGATTAATTATGTAAATAAATGCAAATAACAGACATCATAAAACAAATGTCATAAATTACTGCAGAAATTTAATTCATTGCATTAGAAATCCATCATATCAATAGCTGCTAAATCAAAATTGTAATGTTTTTCTTAATAAGTTTAGATCACATGAAATTGATCAATGACAAACAACACAGACTGTATGTATGTATTTTTGTCCTATATATAGGACAATGAAGGGCACAATTCTGTGCTAATAACAGTTTCAGTCTATAATATATATGATAAACATTTATGGATCAATATATTTGTCTTCAATAAATCCATCATCTTCTGGAACATATGGACGGAATTGTTCAAAAACAACTATAGACTCTTCTTCATTAGTCTCTGATGTATGTGAGGGCATGCATAATTGAGGTGTGAACGTTTCTTCAAACAGCTCAGATTCTTCTTTTTCTTGGAGACGTCTGTGATTGTAGCTTTTTAAATAACGGTACCACGTTGGAAACTTGATAGCAGCAATAATCAGTGCTGTAGTGCTAAGGATAACTGCTAGGACACCCATCAAAAAAGTCCAGCTTTTGCCAATGCGCCGAATACCTGCAGGTTGGAATAAAACATTTATAATGTGTAGTTATCTTCCATATCTGTCTTTTCTACACAAACTTTCTGAGAACTTGCTTGATTTCCAGAGGCCATTTATTAATGTCTATTGATCTGATTAAACAAACTGTCCTCTTCCTTAGGAGAAATATGGGCTTTAGGTTATCTGCCTATTGAATTATTTAAAAAAGATATGATAAATGCTGTAGACGTTTAAAATAATTTTAAGTGACTATTATATTGTAATTGTTATTTATTAAACTTGTATGATACTTTTAAATATCACATATGGAATTTCAACTGAATTAATAATAGATCGATGAATAATCTTGACTTTCTACATTGATCTCTGGTACCTGCCTAACTCATGGTCTAATTTATTCAAGACTAATGGCTCATCTAGTTTGCCCTTTGATATGAATATAGTGCCAATCGTACAACTTCAACTGGAATCTATTTGACTTTCATGAGAGGAAATTGTTGCCATATCAGATAGCCAGAGCCAAACTTTTATGCTCAAACGGACATATAACAAATAACTGGAATGTTGAACTGTCTGGATTATCTGATTAACTGTAGTTTGCCAATATGCATGTAAAGATACTCAGTACATCTTGCAATTCAGCATGTTCAGTTATGTTCTGCTAGGAAAAAGATAGTTTCGGTTAAGTGGTGGCCATAAAATTATTTCAATATATTTCCTGGTTTAAAATTTAAAGCATGACTGAAATAACTAAGTTGGGAAGAGGGAAGGTTGAGAGTAAAACAGCCTTTTATGAAAACACTATGTAGTTGCCATCCCAGATACACCAGAGAAAAAGGCAGCTACCAGTCTTTTACAAGAACAAGAAAAAAATAAAATAAAAAATAAAACAGAATTGAACCCGGCATGAATGCATCTGCCCATCGATCTGAATTTTAGTTTGTAGAAGTTGCTCTTTGTCTCAGTTAGGTGGCTTGGAGCTTCATTTATTCAAGTGGACTACTAGATTTTTATGAATGTGCCAAGTTTCAGATAGAATATTGCAGGCATTTGAGGGCAACTTTGACAAAGGCTATTTTTAAATGGAAAGCAATATGTTGTAAAGGTTTTAATTTGTATGAATGCAGAACAGTCAGTGGAATATTTAAATAAATCTAAGTTTCCTCAATGAATATTGGTAAGTACTCAAGACTGTGCACATTCTTTTTTTCTCTCCAGTTAGCAGACCTACAGATATTGTTTATGTTTAAAAATATTCAGTGCTTCAAAATCAAAATGAATTATATTATTTTTGACATTTTTTTCTGAAACAATATACCCCAATATACACTTAATTGTTTATTTAAACTGAAATGTACCTGAATATGCTGGTCCATTTGTATAATTATATGTAGTGCCATAGGTAGTATTCATAGAAGTAAAAGATGAGACAGGTGTTCCAGATATTCCCATTTGTTTACAGTTTAATGTATTTGTGTCCTTGATAGGATATTCTTTCAAAGTAACTGGAATAGGGCACATAGTATTGTTCTCATTTTCTGTAAATATATTCAGTATCAGCATTAAAATGTTTGGCTTGCACTCTTGTACAAAGATAAACTTTTTATATTAAAAATATTGTTTAGTTTATAAATTTAAAAAATGGATGAGGTAGCACAATATGATTGACAGAATGAAGCAAAATAAATAGTATGTAACATAATAAACCAAAATTAATTTATATTCATTTTAATGTAACAGAAAAGAAAACCAGCAGAACAAACAAACAAAACCATTGGTTTTTAGGACAGTTAACCAGCTAAACATATTGACAGAAAATATTTAGCATTCGCAGAAAGCAAACTTCATTTGAGAACTTCAAGAAATGCTGTCCAGGTTTACTGATCTTAGTCATTAATAACTGGTTTGCATAGAATTTCGTAATGAAATGTCACTTTCTTAGCGCCAAGTTTAGTAAATAGCTAATTCAAAGATATATTCCATCATTGTCAGCCTCAGTAATGGAATAATTCATTAGATAGTCATCTGGAAGATGTTACTGTAGAAAATAAATTCTAGTAATGTACAGTATATCCCAAAAACTGGACATCCAAGGAAAACAATTTCTGAGTAAAAATGTATGAATATGCTGTTTTAACTGTATCATTATAAAACTGAATGACATATATTATTTTGTTAGTTATCTGTTTAAATTTCGTTAATTGCTTTCCTAGAAGGATATTCTTTAGAACCCAAAGTGACTCACTTATAAGCAGATACCTAAATGTAGGATTATCAGATCTGTGTTGGAAAACTCTGAACAACTACAAGATTACAGCAGTTGAAGTTCTCTGTATGCTATCATCTAGTGGTCCCCCTGATTTTTTTTCAGCTCAAATCTGGTAGACAGCCTTATTTGAAGTATGCAGTTATTTTACTGAAATACATTATTCTGAATACTTTTCTGGTTCGCTGTGCAAATCTTTTTTTCTAACCCACTTGGCTAAACAGATAACTTTTGAAATTGCTATTTTGAATATTTTAAAATATGAGGACTATATTTAGTTTCATATGGGGATGTTAACAAGTGTATTAAACTATACCTAAATGCTTCATATTGATTGGAATGAGCCCAAACCAGGTCCTGCAGTATTAGACAAAGAACCTTGCCAATATTTAGTTTCAAGGATACTAGCATGGTGCATAAATTAGTTCATGATAAAAATAAAAAAAAACTCAGTTATATAAGCTAATTTCACAATCCTGTTTGGAATTCACATTAATGTTGTATATAAGCCAAGTCTCTTAGGCTGTTCTAATATACAGTTTTCTTTTACAGTTTTTGGCTCCCAAATTAGAAATTTCAGAAAGCAATTCTGAAATTACTTTTAGAAATGGAAAAATAATCAAGACTAAATATATATTGACCTACCCGTTATCACAGTAGAGCTATTCAGCCAATGTTGTAAACTAAGAAGGTCACATGAACAAGTCCACACATTTCCATCTAATTTAATACATATTGACTTAAATTTTACCTCAACATCAAAATCTTTTAGAAAATTGTTTTGTAAATTTAGGACTTTTAACTTGTTTAGCTCTGCAAATACATCAGAATTTAATGTTGTTATTTTGTTATTTTGTAGATTCAGAATCTGCAATTCATTCAGACCAGCAAATGCTGCTTTTTCAACTGTTTTGATATAATTATTACTGACATCAAGAATTTTTAACTGTGAAAGTTTTCCAAAGCTGTAATTAGAAACAACAACAATAGAGTTGTTGTTCAAATACAGTTCTGAGAGATTATTGTACTGGCAAAGTATTACTGTGTCATTCTTGTCTAAAGTAATATGGTTACAACTAAGATATAACACAGAAATGTCTTTGTTTAGGTTAGAAGGAACAGAAGAATGGATTTTTGCCACTTCCTGACAGTTTACCTGTTAAATAGAGAGAAAAAACAGTTACGGAAATATCATAACAAATAACAAAAATCTTTTACAAATCTTTATAATATTTGTTGTTTAAAAAGTAACTGACAACTCAAACAGAAATTCACATAGTTTAGATAATAAAATAAAGAACCATGTGACAACAAAATCCCATAAGATTAGAAAAGGAGCAACAGAGAACAGCAAAATAAGCACTATCTAAACCAGAAACAAAGCAATGACATCTATATGCTGCTTCTAGTTAGGAATATTTTCATTCCAAGTATACTGTCTTGTATACAGTATATACAAGAAAGAAGTTGATCATGAATGTTGATTCCAGATACTTTAACATGTCCTTACTCCCAGTCTTTAGAAATCTTTCTGTAATGGAGTAGGAAGCATAACGCATGTGACATTTCCATATAACCTAGACTGAAAATTATCTTTTGGCATAAGGAGCTGTTTCATTCTAAAAATCTCTAGAGCTGCCAAAGGATGCAAGGGACACCATGTGTTGACATATGCATCATACCGACATGCTAATGTGACCATTTTAAATTATTAATTATTTGCATCAGATATGATGCAACTATTGCAAATTACATAAACTACAGGAATGCTTCTTCGCTTTTTGGGCTCATTTGACCTTGCGAAGGTCAAATGTGGTATATAATAGCATCTTCTGTAATAAATATATCATGACCCAGATCTGTTTATGATGTCATTGTGATTTGTAATGGATACTATATATGCAGCACAATAAGATACTTGAAGGAATTGAATCTGAATATTACAGTGCTATATTGAATCTCTAATCTCATACAGAATAAATATTCTCTAACAGGGTTTTAATCTTAACATCCTGAAGAAGCATTCCTTATTTTTGGTATGGATTGTGTGATATGCTCTGGGCATATATATGTTCACGAGTGGTGGAATGACTGATAGTATTAATAGAAATATGTTATCATTGTATTTTATAAATATCACAAATTTATACATGTTCTAAAACATATTTTTTAAAAAAACTGCATGGCATCATGAAATTGGGAGCTAACAGCTTCTTTAACAAGTGGCTAAAATTGATAACTTACAGTTTGAGAAGTATCACTGCATTCAGTATTGACAGGATAAAGAAAGAGAACTGCAACCAGTATTAGGAGCCAAGCAAGCTTCATGTTCAAAATCTGTTAATTTTTGATATAATTCAAATAATAACAAGAACTGAAGATTTAATATAGGAAACTAAGGAGCTATTATTTGTACTTTGGGTCATGATTTGTGGCCATAACATGTATGAAAGTCAATTGCAGAGTAAAATAAATGAATAGAATTCTTGGAGTTGAACTGAAACATTGAAATTGAAGTAATATTGTTTTCATCCCTAAATCATCCATTCAACCATCTGATGACCTATGTATGGAAGAAACTTTTATTCTGACTTTATAAAAGATAGATTACTGTGCATGATGTAGGCAAAAACACACATGTACCCAGATACCTACACAGAGAGATGCACACAGTAATCTTTCATACTCCCATATTCCCAAATTCTGCTTTTTGTTTGGAATAATGATACATGGAAACTTTTGCTAAGGTGTTTGACAAATCAACTCCATGCAGAATGCATATGTAGGAGGCAGAATCCTGGCCTTTATGTCTCAATAATGTAGAACTTTCTAAGTCATCTCCCCAATTTCAGAGTGTTGTTTCTTATAGAAAATGTGACTAAGTAGGAGAAAGCCTGTAAAATGTGTTCCCTCCATGTTTCAAAGTAGATACGATTTTCTCTCTAAAGCCTCTCTAGCTGGCAAACCAAACAGCAATTATTTTTTTTAAGAATTCAAAGGTTACATGCCAAGTCCGCTTGCTAAAGTACAAGCTCTTCACTTCATAAAAATGTATTGCTTCAGCTAATTAATATTTTTATAGATTTTTATAAAGTACAAAAATAACAAATATTCTCTAAATGCAACTTCAATAATTTAAAAGCATTGCTCCTTGCTCCCAACTGAGCTCTAAAATGGTTCCACTTTAAAGGGCAGCACAAGGCAGAGTGTCATCTCTCTTTGTCGTAATGCAATTTATGTGACCATTCTTTATAAAGAAAACTGCATAAATCTCTCAAGGATTGATAAAAAATACAGTTAATAAGATGTTTATTTTATACAGTGCAGTAGCCTGAGAAACAAAACCAAGGTTGTGGTAAAGTTTCGGGGTGAAAGCATCTCTCAATCTTATCTTCAGCCATATTTTTTTTTAAAAAAAAAATCAAGTATATCTCAAGGTTTCCTATTTATTGCCAAGGCAATCTTTGTTACGTTTTAGGTGGTTTAAAAACAAAGTACAGCTTCAAGGTAACAGTATAGAGTTAAATACGATGTCTCACAAAACATAAATCAGTATCTTTTCTGAATTTCATACAAAATCAGAACCAGACTGTATATATATATATTCTACTCTCTTGGATTATGAAGCAAACTTTGGTATCACACAATTGCACCATAATTTATTTGTATATATCATACCTTCTTAATTTTTCTCCGGAATATCATACTGGCATACCGGTATTTTCCTGTGATTGAAAAAGACAAGAGGAAAGTTGCAATGTTTCTGCACTTGGCTGCAACCTTTGTACCCAATTAGCAGGGAGGAAGTTTAAAATAAAGTGCAGGACACCTTTAGCAAAAGATTGACTATTTGTGTTCATCTATGAGTTAGAGGCTTGCAACCAATCAAGAAGACTTTTGAATATGATATGTGCAGTTTTGTGACATTAAATTGCAAGGTGAGGGCGGAGTAATCTAGAGTTTGCAATAAAACACGTTTGTATTGGATACAAAGAGCTAAGTCTAGAAAGGTAGACTTCATTTTTTAATGGGGATGGTGATTGCCACTAGCAGTAAAAAAAAATCATTCCTGGCACACAGCATAGCCTGTCTATAAATTTTGTTTTTAAAAGGAAGCAGGCATAAACTTGATTTTAGATCAAAGGTCAGGAAAAAAGAGCTAACAAATACTAGCTGAGCTTCATAATAAGGGTCTGAACAATGTGAGAAAGTGCTGTTTCTATCATACTTTCTTTAATAGTCAGGTTCTCTTCCCAATCCACCTCAGCAGTTTCAGTGTTTTAGTTAGTATAAGCAAGTTGTGGCCTTCATGACCCTTTTTTTGTGGTCTCGAGAATCCTCCAAATACATTGTTTAATTTTAATTTCCTGCCATTTTTTGGCAAAATATGAAATATTAGCTAAAAATAGGCATAATATTGTTTAAATTATTTTTTTTAAGAACAGCTTGAAACCAAAAAATCCCCGTAATTGACAATGGCATTTCTATATGTTCTTTAGTAAACTGTATGAATATATCCATGAAATCACTAGAAGTCACAGAAAACTTTACTTTTTGTTGTTATTGCTTTGTTTTTGCTTTCACTCTCTTTAGTGAGAATGGAATGGAATGGAATGGAATGGAGTAGAGTAGAGTAGAGTAGAGTAGAGTAGAGTAGAGTAGAGTAGAGTAGAATAGAATAGAATAGAATAGAATAGAATAGAATAGAATAGAATAGAATAGAATAGAATTTTTATTAGCCAAGTGTGATTGGACACACAAGGAATTTGTCTTGGTGCATATGCTCTCAGTGTACATAAAAGAAAAGATACGTTCATCAAGAATCATAAGGTACAACACTTAATGATAGTCATGGGGGGACAAAAGAACAAGCAACAAAATTACAGTCATACAGTCATAAGTGGAAGGAAATGGGTGGTGGGAACGATGAGAAGATTAATAGTAGTGCAGACTTAGTAAATAGTTTGACAGTGTTGCGGGAATTATTTGTTTAGCAGAGTGATGGCATTCAGGAAAAAACTGTTCTTGTGCCTAGTTGTTCTGATGTGCAGTGCTCTGTAGCGTCGTTTTGAAGGTAGGAGTTGAAACAGTTTATGTCCAGGATGCAAGGGGTCTGTATTTTACACAGCCCTCTTTTTGACTCGTGCTATATACAAGTCCTCAATGGAAGGCAGGCTGGTAGCAATTGTTTTTTCTGCAGTTCTAATTATCGTCTGAAGTCAGTGTCTGTCTTGTTGGGTTGCAGAGCAAACCAGACAGTTATAGAGGTGCAGATCAGAGGTGGGTTTTAGCAGGTTCTGACCAGTTCTGGAGAACTGGTAGCGGAAATTTTGAATAGTTCGGAGAACCAGTAGTAAAAATTCTGACTGACCCCGCCCCCATCTATTCTGTGCCTCCCAAGTCCCAGCTGATTGGGAGGAAATGGGGATTTTGCAGTATCCTTCCCCTGGATTGGAGAAGGAATGGAGATTTTACAGTATCCTTCCCCTGGAGTGGGGTGGGAATGGAGATTTTACAGTATCCTTCCCCTGCCATGCCCACCAAGCCACGCCCACCAAGCCACACCATGCCCACCAAGCCACATCCACAGAACCAGTAGTAAAAAAATTTGAAACCCACCATTGGTGCAGATGACAGACTCAATAATTCCTCTCTATAACTGGATCAGCAGCTCCTTGGGCAGTTTGAGCTTTCTGAGTTGGCGCAGAAAGAACATTCTTTGTTGTGCTTTTTTGATGACGTTTTTGATGTTAGCTGTCCATTTTAGATATTGCGATATGGTAGAACCTAGAAATTTGAAGGTCTCTACTGTTGATACTGTGTTGTCTAGTATTGTGAGAGATGGAAGTAGGGAAGGGTTTCTCCTAAAGTCTACCACCGTTTCTCTGGTTTTGAGTGTGTTCAGTTCCAGATTGTTCCGGTCACACTACGAGGCTAGTTGTTCAACCTCCCGTCTGTATGCGGATTCATATGTGGATTCATTTGGAACAGCAGTAAATAAAATTTACTGCTGTTCTACATTTAAAAATAATTAGAATGCAAAAAAAAAAAGTGAATCAGGTTTACAAAATATTTATTTTTTGTGATGCAGCAAAGAAAAACTAATTCAAGCTGTGGAAGATGACATCCGGCAGGAAAAACAAGCGGCAGAAAATATAATAAAAAATATGTCGGAAGAAGATCAAACCAAGTACATAGAAATGAAAATGGCAAATGAAAAGCTCTTGCAGGTAGTCTTCAATATTTTCGTAATTTACAGTTTGAAGTGTGCCAGAATAGTTTCAGACCAAGGAATTTTTTTAAAAAAAATCCAGAAGCTTCAGTCAACATATCAAGGGAAATATCTTCCAGCCAAATCTAAGATTTTAGTCTTTTAAAGGGTGAATGGGTGTGATTAACTCTTTACCACAGAAATCATGTTACAGAATCTACCAACCTTTTTCTTTCTTATACCTTTAGTTCTCCAGTTTCTTGCCAGACGCATGATTTCTTAATTTTAAAGAAACTATAGATGTGTGACTTGGTAGCTGTCTCTCACACTGGAGGAACCAGCCATTGCAAGATTAATGTGCACATTAAGCATGCTTGATTGTTTAGTGTAATGTTTTTCTTTGTAGAAAAGCTCCATGTAGGAATGAAAGATTTGATTGATCCCATTGAAGAAAAAAAATTGTTCAGAACAAGATAAATGAATCTAAGGTTTAAAGGAGAAAACGTATCTCTTTAACATCAGAACATTTACAATCTTGTCACATTTTGAAGCATGAGTTATAATCTAACTTTGCTTTATTTAGTTACTGGATTACAGCTATTATTTCTTACATTTTTATATTTGTTTCTATAAGAATCTCATTTTAGCTGTGCAGGAACCGAGTAAATTAATTTTGACTATAAAATAAAAATCCTGAAATCTGTAAAGCTTCCCACTCAGGTTTTGAGTTCATCTGTTTCAAAGGGAAACTGATTTCCATTATTTATTATCTACAAATGCAGAGAAAATAATTCCAATTATTTGTGGAATTATTATGTGCGAGAGATCTACATTTAGAGTCATAGTCTAAAACTGGTGGAAACTTAAAAAATTCAAGTCCAAACTGAGGATTTAAGAATGATGATGATCATGTTGATGATGGATTTAGTCCAGTGATTAAATTGTTCAAAGAAATGGGTGATATATTTATCAAGTATAAGATTGGATGACTTGAGGTTGAATCTGAGTACGAATGTACATTTATATAGGATATGGCCATAGCTGGGGCTGCCCGTAAAGCCTTAATTTTCAAAGTTTCTTTCAAGCACTAAATCTCTTTAACAGTTTTTTATTGTATGAAAACTTACTTCCTCTCATAGGAATTGTCTTCTTTACAACAAGAAATGGATGCTGTGAATATGAAAGAACAAGCTCTGGAAGCAGTATGTATTTTCCTATTCTCAAATTCATTACATAATGGAAGGATAAGTTAAAATGCGATAATTCATAAATAAGTGTCTTACATTCAATTACAAATAAAGTCAAAATCCCTGTCTAGTATCATTTTAGCTGTTTCTTATCTTCAGGACATTATCTGGTCCATGGGAAGGACTAGATAGGTGGATAAACAAAGTGAAATCCAGTTTAAACACCTGATTGGATATTGTTGTTCGATGGTTTTAAAGTATTGCCCAAAGATGTAAGTTGTTCCAAATAAAGCTGCCTTTTGCCATTGACTGAAGTTGATTTTGTAAATGCCATCGGTGTTCATGGGGGCTCCAGATGTTTAGGGATTTTTAGGCACCCAAAGCACCTATTGCTATTGGTACTATTCCTGCTTTCTTTTGCCACAGTCATCCATTGCTGTTTGAAGGTCTTTATATTTTGTTGATTTTCTCCAGTTCTTTCTCTTTTACTCTGTTGTATTATTATGATTTGTCACACGGTCAGCAAGGTATTTTGAATGGATTTAGCATTTTTATTTATCTATCAAGTCCTTCTGAAGAACCTGGAATAAGTAGATAGTATTTAATTATTAATCCTATTATTATGTTCAACTCTCAGTAAATTTTAACATAAAATACTGGAAAACATAATTGTTTCTTGAAGGAAACACTGTTTGCTTCCTCTGTCATGTAACATACTTCAGTAAACCATATGGCCAGATTCACATATTACATAGCATAATGAGTGAAGTTAGCCATTGGTACTTGCAAATCCATGCAGTTGTGTTTTATTCAATAAATAAAAGTTAAGCAAACTATTTATAATGTGGGAACTTTTAAGTGGGCTCCTACTACCCTGTTTTCCTGAAAAACATCCCCTGATAATAAGCAGAATTGGGCTTTTGAGCACAATTTGCTCAAATTTTGCGCTAAAATAAGCCTCCCCAAAAAAATAAGCCCTCCCGAAAAATATTAAAATGCAGATCTGGAAATCAGGTAAGACAACAAGAGGAGCCCCATCTTGCTCCACGCACCCCAAAATAATAAGAGCTCCCCGAAAATAAGGCCAAGCACTTATTTTGGGATTCAAAAAAATATAAGACAGGGTCTTATTTTCAGGGAAACACAGTATTTGATTTATAATGTTAAACCACAGTATTATACTAACCAACAGATCTTCTGTGTAACTTTCTAAATACTTGTTATCCTCAGTTTAATCACTCCTACAATTTTATATGTACCGGTATGTATCAACTGTTCTATGAATTTTTCCATTTGATGCTCTATTAGAAAGTTACTATGTGGTACTTTAAAGGTTATAACTTTGATAATACTTCAATTTCCTTACTTTATTATAATTTGGATAATACATATGTTCTTAAATCAAGAATGATTAAGAAGGCTCAGAAATAGATGTGAAATAAGAAAATGAATCCAGATGTTAATTAGCAGTGTATATCTCTGCATGTGAAGATAGATAATGGCTTTGTTTTATCCATTCGTTTAGAAGTATTTAGGAGTGATAATCTATGAATCAATGAACATATATAATATAAAGAATGTATGGGTAGAGTGCTCAGTTTTAGCAGGAACCTTCCTATGCTACTCTCTAGTTGCTGGTTAGCCATAAAATAATGTGATTTGCCAGCCAAAACCGATTCATTGTCCCTGGTCTTTACTTTCTGTTTCAGTTGTATAAATATAAAATACCATATGCATGTATTCTGTCTCTAGGAAATTACCCACTCTCAAATTAAACAAGAGGCCTTACAGCTGTATGAAAAGCTCCATGGTCTTGAGGAACATCGAGATCAAATGATTGCAGAGGACAAGAACATGGGATCTCCGCAGGAGGAAAGAGAAAGACTATTAAAACAGGTAGAAAAATATTTCGTAATATTTGTAAAGCTCAATTAACAGGTAGAAATAAAGGCCTAGAGTACTTACATATCATGTTTAATGTAGAAAAGCCACACTTACTTTCACCATCATGACTCTAGGCCAGCAAATGTAATGATTGGAACTTGATGACCTTGACCAACAGAACTAACTGTGAGAGCACACTTTTGTAAAGAGACTCTATTCTCTTTCGTTTGGAAGGAGACATGTTGATTGTGACTTAGTATTCACATATCATAAAAAGAATTGAGAAGGCAATAAATAAGTATGTCTGTTATACAATTTATTTTCCCTTCTCTGAAATACTGAACTAAGTCTGAAAGATAATAAAATGTATTATATTTAGATGGCTGAAAAACATCAAGGGTGTAACTAAAAGATTATGAAAACCTGATTTAGTAGCAGTAGATGTGAAAAACTAGCTAAGCCACCAGTGCAATGTAGCTGACAAAAAATGTGAAATGAATATAGGATATCTCCAGGAATGACATTTGTGCTATCCTGGCTTTGGTTCTGTGTCCCTTGGATCCCAAACCATCATCAGTGAATATCTGAGCAGATATATTTCTAGCAGAATTTGGAGACATTTCTGGCCCTATAGGTAAGATTTACAATCCTATAGTCATTGACTTACAACCTGTTGCTTAACAACTAGTCAAAGTTAAGATAGTCCTCGCTCAGCTACGTACAACCTATTTTCAAAGTTACAACAGTTGCACTTCCACCCATAGTCATGTGATACATTTTGGGCGATTGGCAACCAGTTCACCTTTTGTAACATCCCATTTGTAACGTCCCATGGTCACATGAACCTGATTTGAAATGTTTTTTGCTGGTTTCCAGCATTTTCTTTCCCACTAGGGAAAATGGATTCACTTAACAACTGACATGTTTGCCTAATGATCATTGCATTCTCTTAACGACTATCACAAAAAATGTCAAAAAATTAAGCCCAGTCACGTGATGCCTTGATTTATGACCGCAATAACTAACGACTATAATTCTGGGCTTAATTTTAGTTTTAAGTCAAGGACTACCAGTATTTGTATATCACTTTTTCTAATATACACAGATTTGTGCTACTGAAAGGTAAGATGACAGTATTTTATTCAGTAAATTTTAGACAATACAAGTAATATCAGTCTGTTTCTGTACTTTAGCCAGCATTTTTACCATTCTTTCCATAACACAGTAATTTATTTGGGTCACTAAGAAATATGTTATGTTAATGTTATCTTTCTAAGGTGAAGGAAGACAATCAAGAAATAGCAAGCATGGAGAGGCAGTGAGTGTTTTTGTATATTTTACTGTCTGCTATAAAATCAGTTTCATTTACATCCACATATTTTGGAAGATTTGTCAGTCATGTGAATTGTACCCGTTGACTAAAAAGAAGCAGGGCTGTTTTTATGACCTGCTTGTTGAAATATTCTGAAGAACCATATGTGAAAATGGAGTTGGAATTAAAGTATCTGATGACTTAATTAGGTAATACTACTGTATAGTAATAAGACAATAGTAATAAGTAATGCAACAGGAGAAAATCTAAAACAAATATTTGTCCTGTGACATTTTGATTGCTTATGAGACATGCATCATTATCATATGGTTATTCATATTGTTCAAAGAAAAAATAAAGGGAAGAGATTTTAAATCTCTTACATTATTGCATTTAAGTTTACATACGTTAACTGGGTTACTTTAATTAATGTTTTATCTACATTTGTCTCAGAATTTTGAAAAATTCTTATTTTGAGAAAGTGAGGTAAAGAAGCACTACTCTGTTGTAACATTATTGTAATGAATTTTTTTTAACCAGCAGGGGGACCCATTATTTAACATAAGAAATTCTTATGTTCCTCATTCTCTACAAAATTGAACTCGTTTAGGTAAAATTATGTAAACTCAATTAAAGAATATGCAGAAGCAAAAACATGCTAGGAGAAAAAGACATTGCTGTTTGATTGTTAGTCTGAAAGCTATTTATTCAGTACTTTTTGCAAAAAGCTAGTGTCTAAAGCTGCATGTTTATAGTTATCACCATGCCCTTTACACATTGTTTTAGGCTAACAGAGATAAAAGAAAAGATCAACCATCTCAATGAAGGAATCCGGCAGCTTGACATGGATTTAGAGGAACACCAAGGTGAAAGAAGGCTTTAAGACCTGACTCTTCAAAACTGTATTTAAATGTTCTATTATAGTTGATTCAGAAATGGGGATTATTTATATTAAGGTAGAGTCTATGAATTGTGAATAGATATAAAAATGTTCTCATACATGCAAACTGCATGATTCTGTACAATATTTTTATTCCATACGCAAAGATGATAATAATTTCCATTTGTTACCTTCCTATAGTTTCTTTCCATTTCTATCTGTTTTCTTACTGCTAAAACATCTATAAAAGATATTTATAGTCTAACACTGCTTCATAGTGCATTGCACCTGATGGCTTGTTAGCTTTCTGGAAATATCCTTTTTCTCAAAAGACTTTAAAGAATGTGCTTCACTGTGAATGAAAAAAAAAATGATGGTGTGGCAAAATAAGCAAAAAATTAATCCTCCCTGACTCTAACCCTAATGAGAGTTGTTCAAATTCTACGATCATGCAGAAAAACTCCAACATAAATTAATCCTTTCAACATATATGGGTGGTCTTCTGATTTGCTTTGGGTAAGCAAGATTATTTGGAAGAATGTGAATATGGGTAATTCTCTGCATATGTAGGGGGGAGAAAGCATTTCAACTAATAATGTAACCTTTTCCAATTTAGTGCTTCTCAAATCTGAACAGATTATTGTGGGAGTTGTAATCCAGTGACACCCAATGATGCTTCTATTCTAAACAGAGGGTACCCTAGGTTGCTTCACTAAAACAGTGCCATCTTATGGAACCCAAAAGCCATGCCTTCTCAATGGCAGCAGTTGGGATCTGGCTCTTTCCTCAAATGTTTGGGTCAGTTGAATCGAATTCCCAATTTGAGGAGCTACAGTAAAATCAGCTTTCATGATTTAATGACCTTTGAAGTTTTTTATGTTTATTGGTTGATTATTTTTCCTTTCTTTTTTCCTTTTCTTTTTATATGCTGCCCAGAATCATGTTATTTGAGTTGGGCAGTCATTTAAATGCCCTTAGATCAATAAAATAAGTACATGTAGATGTATGTTTTGATTTAATATCTAAAAGGAACTAATTATTTTAATGCTATCTCATTAGAAGTATGATTTAAACAGTATTGTTTTTCTTTCTTGATTCTTAAGTTTGATCATATAATTAGTATTTGATTTTAGCCTTTCCATAGTAATTCCATCATTCTGCTTTTATCTGTTTTATTTTCATACACTTTTTGCATCGTTTTCCTATATTGCTTGGATGACTGTAGATGGTAAGAAATTGTTTTACTATTTATAGCTTGATAACTGAAGCTATTTTTCATAAAATATTTTTCAGAGATTTTTTTTGTTTAAGCCTCAGTCTACATCTCTGTTCATGGTCCTCTGAAAAGCAAATTAAATTCAATATTTAATTTTAATTTCAAAATTAAATTCAGTATTTTTTCCCCATCATGAAAGGGAGTATTGACAAGAAATAGGACCCTAGCTACCAGGATGTTTTTAAAAATGTCCTCTTAGGATAGTGCACATATTTATAATTTATAAATGCAAGCAGTGGGAATGTCAAACAATATAGCAGGGAAAAGAGAAGGCAGAAGTGTCAGTTCTAATATGATTTATTTTTAGCCTATGCTTTCCATTTTTTCTTTAGGTTTTGAAGCTGTTATCTACTTGTATTATATGCTTTATTTTAAATTTTTGAATCTGCCATTTTTATAAGTCAACAGATATTACAGTTATCATAAATAAAGTGTGGGTATCATAGGAGTATATTATGGAAGATATATATCATGTATTAATTCAAATGCATCTTATTTATCTTTCAATTTGTCCCCAATGCATTCAACAGGACTCTTAGTGCTTTACAATAATGTTCAATGATATAGTAAAACATCTGTGGTAAAAAAAAAGAGTCCTAAATATACAATGATTTATTTGATCAATTTTTAAGGTCACCCACTCCGTGACTAGATCACTTATAATGGGTTAAAAACAGTGAAAATACAGACATTGAAAAGAATGAAGGGAGGAAATAGATTCAAATATACTACAGCAGTGCTAGTGATTAGTGGCCACACACCAATGTAACATAGAGCCTGCAGGAAGAGCCGGGTCTTAAGTGCCTTCCTAAAGGCATTTAATACAAAATACTAAAATCATACATCATAGATCAGCATCATTTCTTTCACCATTTGTCCTTCAACATGATTCCATTTTTAACAGTTCTTAGAAGGCCAATAATATAGAGCTCAATCTGATATCAACAGGGAGGCTGCTCAATGTTGCAAGTGTGGCCATTAAAAATAGTTTGTTTGTTTAATAGTAATTTGAATAACCTATTTAAAAACTATTACAAATTAAACTAAAAGAAAAAGAAAGTGCAAAAAAGAAAAAGTAGAAGAAAAAAGACAAAAACAAATAGAAAGGAAAGAAAAAATAAGAATATTGCAGCAAAAAAGAAAATATATAAAGAAATTACTTCTCCCTTCATTGGAACAAATATAGACAATTTTAGGAACTTGCCTTTCCTTAAAATATAACTAATGGTTTCTTCTCCCTATCTCTCATCTCTTATCTATAAACAAATCTTTAAAACCTTGTTCAGTCTTGGTCACAAAAGTCTATTAAGGATTTGCAGAGATAACAATATCTACTTTAACTTTGATCATTAACTCACTTTGCATTCCTTCCTTTTAGTTTTAACAGTCTGGACCTTTATCCCTTCAAATACTATCCTAAAATTTGATTTCTTTCCATTTTTTTTGTCTTTCTTTTCCTTCTCACAAAAACCTTCAAAACTTTAACAAGACTCTTTTGTAAATTCAATATAGGAAAGTTATCAAGATTGTTCTCTTGATTTGTTATTTGTTTATCCCCTTTAATTATTATGACATCAGCCAGATTCATTCCTACATCCATTTGTATACAGCATCTTTTTTAATTATCATTTTTGTAGCCTGTAATTTTTAAAGCCACTCAATCTCAGGTTTGTCCAGTAAAACTTTTTCCTATTCCATAACATTTTTGAAACACGGCTTATTTATAATTCTGGGCCTATTGTTCACAAATATCCCTTAGTACTTTCACTGTTAACTATTTTGCTCCATCCTATATTTGTAATTCAAATGTATGTATTATTTTCCTTTAATTGTAATCTTTAGTACCTTCTGGTTCCCTCTAGTGTCCAACCTTCAAAGTCCCATCCTATAATTTTTTAAGACTTGAAGAGTATTTTCCCATGTAAAGAATTCTTATAATTAATTTTAAAATCTTATTTCAATCCATCTCACCTCTTAGTCCATCTATAGTCCATTTATAACTGTCCAAAACCAAAATTCTAATTATCCTTTTGCTTTTTATTCCAAATTAATAATATTTTTTCTGAATTCTTAAATTTGTATTTTTATTTGTATTTATTTATTTGTTTTGGTAAGGACTGAAGGAGATTCTCCCGGTACTCTGAATTAACTTGTCATTATAAAAATACCTAGTAACTAAAAAGCAGTCAAAAAACAATTTCTGAAAATAATTTAGAAGTGAGGCTAAACAGGAGGGACCAAGTCGGGAATGATTTGAATCAGGGTGGGCCCTTGCCTAACAACCAGTGGAATTTAGTTAATGATGGCAATGGGAACTAGCTAGATTTCTATTGCTAAGTAATAAGGTAACGTGACATTACACTCTGACTGCATCATTTAGTAATGGAAATTCTGGTCCCACTTACCATCATTAACCAAGGTTACCTGTACCCTAATCTGTCAATACAAAATAACTGCAGTATTAATTGTTTTATTTTAAATTGTTTTTTTAGGTGAAAAAAATCTGAAATATAAAGAATTGAAGAAGAGAGAGGAAAGCATGGATAGTAAGTAAGATTCATAAACATATATAAAATGCACATTTTGCATTTAGTGCCCTGAAAACATTCATTTTAATATTCATTTAAGGAGAGAAGCAACCTAGAACTAAGGAGAAATTTCTTGACAGTTAGACCAATTAATCAGAGGAACAACTTGCCTCCAGAAGTTGTGAATGCTCCAACACTAGAAGTTTTTAAGAAGAGATTGGACAGCCATTTGTCTGGAATGGTATAGGGTTTCCTGCCTAAGCAGGGGGTTGGACTAGAAGACCTCTAAGGTCCTTCCAATTCTGTTATTCTGTTGTTCTGTCTATTCAGAAAAAAATCTTATCAGGGTTTTATCCTTCAGTCTCAGGTAAGTGAGAACAAGACTGCCTCATCAGTCACTTGGTATGTATGCTAATCTCATTAGTAAGTCCAATCCTTTAAGTTTCCCACATGATAACTGGATTTATGGCAACACAGAGTAAAAATTGGTTCCCATTTGGGTCCTTATAAATTCAGACAAATTATTGGAAACTAGAAGTAAATTGAAATACTTCTTATGTGTTGAAAAATAAAAGAAAACAGACATTTGGCAAGACTGTGGCTAATGAAGAATAGTAATTTCTTACGTTAATTTCCTTTCAAGAATTCTATAGATTTTTACTTTGCCAAGAGAAATTGATAAGGAAGCATTTGGTCTATTTTAACAGAACCCTTTTATGTAAGGAACTGCTCAACACATATAGGAACTCTGATACACATTTTGGAGCCCTATATGAACCAAAGCTTCCTACTGAATTCAATATTGCTAAAGTTCTGTGGTCATATTACAGTTGCACTCCCATAGCTACCTTCCATGTTGAACTTTTGCTTCCGAAAGCTCTCCAGATATCAGGGAGGTTTATGGAGTTTTCGGGCAAAGTGAGACTTAGTTAAAAACTCAGGATAGGAAGATTTCTTCTATTTAAACAAACAGTCACACAGTATTTGTAAATGTTGAGAGCTGTTGCCCAATCTTGGATGGTGGTGTGGATGACCTCAACTCTCCTAATTTTTACTTGAATTGCCACATTTGCTGGAAGAATTTCCAGAGTCTGGAAGCAGCTAGTAAAGAGTTCCTCTGTTTGAACATTGGTATCCCCTAGGCAATCTTAAGGTTCAGGGTTTTTCATACAGTCGGTATATATGGTTATATGGATCATCATCAACATTTCCAGTTGGATTTGGAAACAGTATTATAGCCAGTGAAGCTATTGTTAGAAAAAAAATCAGTAATAAGGTGTAGCATTCTGCTTAAATTTTTGAATATTCTTCAGAGATTATGTTACAATAGATAAATAGATTGGGTTACAGGAGTCCAGATGGAATGTAATTTAGGCATTGAATATTTTAGAAATATCTTTAATTATTATTTGCTAGTTTGCCATATAGAGCTCAAGTATCAATTGAATAACAATTGAATAACTGATTCTCATTATACTTTTTCATATAAACTATTTTTTCGTTGAATTATTTTCTGATTTTAAACTCCCTGTTTATATATTTTTAAACTCTTTAACATTCAAAGTGCAATTGTAAGCAATGCTGCTGGACTTCTCTGCTGTTCCTATTGTAAACAATAGCTTCCTCTATCTTTTTTTTAAAAACCTTTAGACTTTCTCGAATCTTTTGAAGAGACAAAGAACCAGGAACTGGAACGGAAATCAGAGATAGAGGCCAATATTGTGGCACTTTTAGAGCATTCAAGTCGGGTAAGTAATCCCCCTTGAAATCCTAATTTACTATTAGGGAAATATCTCTTTCTCAAACAAATGAAACCCAGACAATTATTTAATTTTAAATAAAGTTAAAAATCGCCCTGTTAAATAATAAAGCTATTTGATAATAACATCGGTTTTTTATTTCTTTGTATTTGTATTTCTTCAGAATGCAAATAAGAGTAAATCTAGGGGGAATATATGTAGGGGGAGTGGAGGAGTCCTTGCAGGGTAGAGCTGAGGAGTTTGTGCAGTTTCTGTCGGATAAAGTCACTCAGATTCGGACGGACCTGGACTCTGATTGGGCAATTCCGACCGAGATGACGGGGGGCAGGTCTTAGTCCTATTGTGTGGGATGAGTTTGAGCCTGTGACTCCTGAGGAAGTGGACAAGGCTGCAGGGGCAATGAGTTCCTCCACTTGTTTGTTGGACCCGTGCCCCTCCTGGCTGGTCTCAGCCAGCAGGGAGGTGACACGAGGCTGGCTCCAGGCTTTAGTTAATGCGTCCTTGAGGGAGGGGTCCTTCCCGCAACCATTGAAAGAAGTGGTCGTAAGGACCCTCCTCAAGAAGTCTTCCCTGGATCCAGCAGAATTAAAGAACTTTTGTCCAGTCTCCAACCTACCCTTTGTGGGAAAGTTTATAGAGAAAGTGGTGGCATTTCAGCTCCTGCGGTCATTGGATGAAACGAATTATCTGGACCCTTTTCAGTCTGGCTTCAGGCCTGGCTACAGCACGGAAACTACTTTCGTCACACTGATGGATGATCTCTGGCAAGCCCGAGATGGGAGTAATTCCTCCATCTTGGTCTGCTTGATCTCTCAGCGGCTTTCGATACCATTGACCATGGTATCCTTCTGGGACGACTAAGGGAGTTGGGAGTTGGAGGTACCGTGTTACGGTGGTTCTCCTCCTATCTCTCTGATCGATCACAGTCAGTGTTGGTAGGAGGACAGAGGTCGACCCCTAGGCCCCTCGTTCGTGGGGTGCCTTAGGGCTCGGTCCTCTCTCCCCTCCTATTTAACATCTACATGAAGCCGCTGGGTGAGATCATCTGAGATACGGGGTGAGATATCAGCAGTATGTTGATGATACCCAGCTGTATATCTCTACCCCGCATCAATTCAGTGATGCAGTGGATGTGATGTGCCAGTGCCTGGAGGCTGTGAGGGTCTGGATGGGAGTCAAGAGGCTCAGACTTAACCCAGACAAGACCGAGAGACTATGTTGATTGTCCATCCTTGGTTCTGGGGGGGGGGAATTGTCCCCCTCAGAACGGGCTCGCAATTTGGGTGTCCTCCTAGACTCACAGCTAAGATTAGAGCAACATCTGACAGCTGTGGCTAGGGGGACCTTTGCACAAGTTCGCCTGGTGCACCAATTGCGACCCTACTTGGATCGGGAGACTCTCCTCACAGTCACTCATGTCCTTGTCACCTCACAGTTAAATTATTGCAACGCGCTCTACATGGGGCTACCCTTGAAAAGTGTTCGGAGACTACAGTTGTTCCAGAATGCAGCCGTGCGAGCTATCGTGGGTGCACCTAGATACACCCACATTACACCAATTCTCCGTGAGTTGCACTGGCTCCCTATTGGTCTCAGGGCACAATTCAAGGTGTTGGTGATTACCTTTAAAGCCCTACATGGCTCAGGGCCAGGTTATTTTCGAGACCGCCTTCTACCACATAGCTCCCAGCGACCGGTAAGATCCCATAGAGTTGATCTCCTCCAGGTCCCGTCAGCTAAACAATGCCGGCTGGCGGGCCCGCGGGGGAGGGCCTTCTCTGTGGCTGCCCCAGCTCTCTGGAACCAGTTACCTCCTGAGGTCCGGACCACCCCCACCCTATTGGCCTTCCGAAAAGCAGTGAAAACCTGGCTTTTCCGGCAGGCCTGGGGCCGTTGATCTCGCTGTTGCGATCTTGTGAGATCCGGCCATGAATGGTGTGAATGGGTTTTAATGTTTTAATTGTTAAATGTTTTTATAATGATTTTTTTTTAATACATTGTAAGCCGCCCTGAATCTCTGGAGAAAGGCGGCATATAAATAAAATAAAATAAATAAATAAATAAATAATAAAATCTAATAGTAATTTAATGTCAAGAGTTCTCAGACTTTATTGTGCTGTGACCCTCTAAAATAATACTTGAATTTGTATGACATTTCTCTCCCTATCATGAACTGCACATAAAAGAGTAAGGAAGGAAGCCATTTCATGTGCGGAATGCTTCTGTGCATGTCCAAGATGATAGGGGCTGTCTGAACCACTCCCGGAGGATGGGGTGATTCTGGCGGCTTCGGGGATCCTTCGGGGCCAATTTGATCATCTCGGCCCCTGTCCCAGCCAAGGGGACTCCTTCCCAGCCTTTTGAGGGGTTTTTCGCCCTCCGGGACATCAGGGCTGTGAAGAAACGGCCGTCTGAAGGTGCGGTGGGGTGACAGCGGCAGCAGCTGACTGCGGCGGCCTTTCCCTTTGCCATGGGTTGGCGGCGGTCGGGGCGATGGCGGTGATGCTGCGGCGCCGGCAGCGCCGACACAAGGCTTCCCCCAGACCCCTGAGCTTCTTTGGGACTTCTTTGAGGCTCCTGGGGGCTCGAAAGTGTGGCAGGAGCCCTGGAGGAGGCGGCGACGATGGCTGCGGGGGCATCGACCACCACTGGATGGTGGTGGAGGCGAGGGGGCGGCAACCGGCGACTACTGATGAGGGGGTGGTGAGAGGCTGCTGGCTTCCATCTGAAACTACCTGGACCTGGCAGGGAGTTGGCTTATTTTCTGCTGGCCCATTCCTGCAGTGATCCGGAGGCCACGTTTTTAGACCGGGACTACAGACTGGGGATATGAATGACCAAACGTCGGAAGATCTGGGGAGTTGGAGAGGTTGGAGGATGGCCGAGGGTTGGCTGTTTGGCTGCCTCAGGCCTTTCCCCCTCCCTCCCCCCCTCTTTAGCCTGTTTGCAGGCCTATCGTGGTCACCACCCCAGCTGCTCTTGTCCCACAAGCCACCTCTTCCTGTGGTCCATCTATTCCCTCCCCCCCCTCCGGGTTTTACTACTCTGCCTTTGGAGCGGTTTTACTCCAGCTGTGCCCCTTGACTGTTTGGAGACCGTTCAGAGAGTGAACAATCTACGATGTGGGTTCTGAGGGAATCCGGTTCTACTGCCGCCTCTCTACCAGAGGGCACAGATTATCGAACTTTCATAGTCAGTTCTATCTGGCTAGCCATCGTAAGAGGATGGTTTGGATGTGTGCCCTCTGAGTCTATCGAAACGGCACAAGACTCCTCCCACTGTCGTGAGAGGACAGTGGAGTCCAGTTTACCCACTTTCGAGTTGGCTTGTCTCTCCGTTCTAGGACTTTTTCAATCATTATGGAACCCTGGCCAGATGTCATCTCCACCTTTTCCGGACTTTGGATGCAGTCAGTGGCCGAACTTCTTGCTCTGTGAGACTCCCCCCTCTCGCAGGTCTGGCCCTCTACATTATCGAGGGCCTACCTTGATGACGGGTTTTGGAACCCAGAGAGGTGGCATGCGGCGAAGAGGGGGATGAGGGTTTTTTATCCAAATTTTTAGCAAAAGTTTTAAGTGGCCCCAGGGGGGAGGATTGGATTAGAACCAGGATTGTGGGTGTGGGGGATAACCCACCGAGGAGAGAGCCAGGTCTGGCGGAGGGGCGCAGTATGGGGGGTGTAGGACCCAGGGTCAAGGAGGGGGTTAGAGCTTGTTCCGAGGATGGACTTGTCATCAGTACTGTGGGTGGGAGGGGCAGATCTGGCAGGAGCAGGGGGCCATATCAAGTTGTGGGAGTGCACACTCGCTGTTTTCGAGTGCTGGCGCGCTCCGGCCCCCAATGCTCTGCTTGTTCCCCAGCTTGCACAGACCCTCAGGGCCCAGGCCTTCTGCTGATGTTGTGCAATGCCAGGTCTGTGGTAAATAAGGCCCCCTCATTTGTGATCTTGTTCAGGAGGGGGGAGCGGACCTGGCGGGTATTACGGAGACCTGGTTGGGCCAGGGGGGGTTCCCCCTTGTTGAAATGTGCCCACCTCGTTTCCGCGCATTTCATCAGCCGAGGTCACGGGAGGGGCGGAGGGGTGGCGGTTGTTATTAAAGAAAGTCTTGGGCCAAGGGAGGCCACTGTTCCTCAGACCGCCGGTTGTGAGTCCCTCCTTGTGAAGTGGGGTCATGGGGTACAGATGGGCTTGCTGATCATGTACCTGGCTCCCTGCCACGTGGCAGCAGCCCTGCCTGGGCTACTCAACGTGATAGCCGCGGTGGCAGTTAACACCCCCAGGTTTATGGTCATGGGGGATTTTAACTTGCCATCCGCAGGTGAGACATCTGAGATGGCTCGGGAGTTCATGGCTTCCATGACAGCTATGGACCTGACCCAGTTAGTTCATGGCCCTACTCACACGAGGGGAAACACGCTGGATCTAGTTTTTGTCTCTGGACAGTGGTTGAGTGATCTTGAGATAGGGGATATAGCGATTGAGCCCTTGTCATGGTCAAATCACTCCCTCCTTCACCTTGACCTTCGAACCGCCACACCCTGCCGCAGGGAGGTGGAACAGATGAGATGGTTCCGCCCCAGGCGCCTGATGGAACCTGATAGGTTCCAGACAAAGCTTGGGTCATTCCCTGAGGCTCTGGCTCACGCCTCGACTGGAGACCTAGTGGCCGCCTGGGATAAGGCGGCCGCTGGTGCTTTGGACCGTGTTGTGCCTTTGCGGCCTCTGACCCGGCGCCGATCTCGCTTGGCTCCCTGGTTTACCGAGGAGCTGAGGGAGATGAAGCGCCAGAAAAGACGCCTGGAGAGCGGTTGGAGGGCCAGCCGGTCTGAATCTGACCGAACACTGGTAAGGTCTCATATTAAGACTTACCTAGTGGCGATAAAAGCAGCAAAATGTAACTATTTTTCCGCTCTTATTCCGTCATCAGATAATCGTCCGGCCGCCCTGTTTAGGGTGACCCACTCCCTGCTCCTTCAGGAAGCGCGGGAGGACCCCTTGGAGGGTAGAGCCGAGGATTTTGTACAGTATCTGTATGATAAAATTGCTCAGATTCGGGAACACCTGAACTCTGACGGGGTAGATTCAGGAGGGAGGAGGGAGGCAGGTCTTGAGGATATTATCTGGGAAGAGTTTGATTGTGTGACTCCTGAAGACGTGGACAGGATACTGAGTAGACTGAATGCTGCCACATGTTTATTGGACCCGTGTCCCTCCTGGCTGGTGCTGGCCTCTCGGGAGGTTACACGAGGCTGCCTCCAGGGGATTATAAATGCTTTCTTGAGTGAGGATGTCTTTCCCGCTGACTTGAAAGAGGCGGTGGTGAGACCTCTCCTCAAGAAGCCTTCCCTGGACCCGGCAGTGTTGGCTAATTACCGTCCAGTATCCAACCTTCGCTTTGTTGCAAAGGTTGTTGAGAGTGTGGTAGCACGGCAGCTCCCTCAGTACCTGGATGAATCAGTTTATCTGGATCCATTCCAGTTGGGCTTCAGGCCTGGGTACAGCACGGAAACGGCATTGGTCGCATTGGTTGATGATCTCTGGAGTGCTCGGGACAGGGGTTGCTTCTCTCAGTCTCAGTGACTTTTCATACCAACGACCATGGTATCATGCTGCACCGGCTGGAAGAGTTAGGGGTAGGGGGCACCGTGTTGCGGTGGTTCTCCTCCTTTCTCTCCGACTGCTCGCAGTCTGTGTTAGCAGGGGGGCAGAGGTTGACCCCGAGGCCCCTTGTATGTGGGGTGCCACAAGGGTCGGTCCTCTTGCCCCTTCTGTTCAACATTTATGTGAAGCCGCTGGGTGAGATCATCCGTGGTTTCGGGGTGAAGTACCACCAGTACGCTGATGATACTCAGCTGTACATCTCCACCCCAGACCACCCCAATGATGCCCTTGAAGTGATGTCCCGGTGCCTGGAGGCTGTACGGATCTGGATGGGGAGAAACAGACTCAGGCTCACCCCATCCAAGACCGAGTGGCTGTGGTTCCCAACATCCCGATAGAGTCAGTTGGTGCCATCACTGACTATTGGGGGCAAGTCGTTGTCCCCCACGGAGAGGGCTCGCAACTTGGGTGTCCTCGTGGACTCACAGCTGTCTTTAGAAGAGCATTTGACGGCTGTGGCCAGGAGGGCATTTTATCAGGTTCGCCTGATTCGCCAGTTGCGTCCCTTTCTGGATCGGGACTTGTTAAATACAGTCATTCATGCCCTCGTCACTTCCCGCCTGGACTACTGCAATGCTGTCTACATGGGGCTCCCCTTGAGGAGCACCAGGAGGCTCCAGCTGATCCAGAATGCGGCCGCGCGGGTGATTATGAGAGCGACGTGGCGCTCCCATGTGATCCCCCTCCTGCGCGAGCTGCACTGGCTCCTGGTGGTCTTCTGGGTGCTCTTCAAGGTCTTTAAAGCGCTCCATGGCTTAGGACCAGAGTATCTACACGACCGCCTTTTGCCACCAGTAGCCTCTCACCGACCAGTATGCTCCCATAGAGAGGGGCTTCTTAGGGTGCCGTCGGTCAAACAGTGTCGACTGGCGGCCCCCAGGGGGAGAGCCTTCTCTGTGGGGGCACCCGTCATCTGGAATGAGCTCCCCCCCGAAGATACGGAGGATCCCGGATCTGCGCGCTTTCTGCCGTGCCCTCAAAACATTCCTATTCCAGCAGGCCGGCTTGGCCTAAACTCTCTTTTAAACTGTTTTAAATTTTTTAAATTTTATATTTGTCTTATAAATTTGGGGTGTTTTAAATTTTGTTTTCTGGGCCAAATTATTCAATTGTATTTTAATGTTTTTTTAACATTTGTATTATATGTATTTTATCTTTTGGCTGTTCACCGCACTGAGTCCTTCGGGACTAGGGTGGTATACAAATTCAATCAATCAATTAATCAATCAATCAATCAATCAATATACAGGAGGGAAAGGAAAGTCCTCATTAGCAACTGCTACCAAGGAGATGTCTGTCTTCCTATCCTGAGAGCAGACACCTTAAGAAAGTATAGCACTTGAGGATATGCTCCAGAAAGGCAAGCAGCCAGGGCATGTCAGTCTCCTATCACAAAAAGGAAAGGAGAAGCAATATTTCACTGCCTGGAATGGGCATCCATGCTCAGGGTTATTCCCTCAGGAAGAGTCACCTTGGCATAGAAGGAAAATGACCCTTGTGTTAGAGAGTACTCAGGAGTGAGTAGGGGATTTCATAGAAGTCATTATAGTGAGCACAAAGGCTATTGAAGAATGTCCCAGCAGCTGGATCCTGCATATGGCTTGGTCTGGTACCAACAAGCTCCATGTCTAGGCAGCGTAGGAGTGAGTGCAGACTCCCTTACATTTTTATCAGAGTTCCTTAAGGGATGTGAATTACAGTTGGAGAAGTCAAAAGAAGGCACTGAGATTTCTTTCTTCCTAATATAGATTCTCAAGTAAACACGGTTAACAAATGAAGAATCTAGCCTTGCTTTAGCCTTTTTCTTCCTGAACTGGTGACTTCTATTTTTACAACAAGATCTTTCTGAAACACATTTAAGCCTCTTTGAGATCTTAGCCACTAGAATAGCAGAATACTACTTTGGTTTGTTTAACATTAGTGTTAGCACTTAATTAAGGTAGGGTTACATTTTTAGGGGTTTTTAAAACATAGTTCATAGGAAGTCAATGGGTTCCATAGAATTGATCTTGCTTCTGCTCTTTTCTTTTCCCCCATCACTTTTGTTTCTTCCTTTGATACCTTAGGCTTAGGCCTCAAAAAAGAAAAATGATCTCAAATTGCAACTAATCGCATATGATGTGAAACAGAACAGTGATTGTCAGATATGCTTTTTATGTTTCCAAAGCATCCTAGCACAACTTAAACTGTGTAGTAATTACACATTATATATTTGCCTAAAAACTGCCCTTACACCAAATTTGTCAATGTTTTATTAAGTCTTTTGCAGATATAAATCAATTCACTGGAAACATCTTAAGGTGCCATGTCGTAGTGAAAATAGCTTCCTTTAGAATTGGCTGTCTCAATTTCAAAAGTAGAATCTGATTGTCCCATTAACATTTCAGAAACAGTTTTCCTTTAGGATACATTGCCTGTGAAGATGTTTTTCAGAGCATAAGGGTTAGGGTTATTTTTGCAAGAAACAACTACAGGTAGCCTTACAACAGTTTATTTAGTGCCCATTCAAAGTTATAACTGCACTGAAAAAAGTGACATGACCATTTTTCACATTTACGACCTTTGCAGCATCCCCATGGTCACATGAGCAAAATTCAGACACTTGGCACCTGACTCATATTTATGACAGTTGCACTGTCCTGGGGTCATGTGATCACCTTTTGAAATCTTCTGATAAGCAAAGTCAATGAGGAAGCCAGTTCACTTAACAATCTTGTTACTAATTTAACAACTGTAGTGATTCATTTAACAACTGTGGCAAGAAAGGTCGTAAAATGGGGCAAAATTCACTTAACAATTGTCTCACCTAGCAACAAAAATTTCAGGCTCAATTGTGGTTGTATGTCGAGGACTACCTGTATCCCTTGGTTAAATTTCCTCAAATTATTGTAAGCCTTTAATATTTTGTTTACCTTTAGCCTTTACTCATTATGTAAAATATAGTAATAAAGCTATTTGTATGAATAACACAGCAATACTTTATTTGAGATATATTCGCTAATATTTATATTTCTTAAGGGTATTTACCGTGACTGATAAAATTATTATGGAAAAAGGTTTTTTTATTGATCTGCCTCTAGGCATGGCAATACATTTGGAAAAAAAAAATGTTTTTTGTTGTAATGTGCAGAATGTAAGTCGTATGAAGCAGATATCTTCTGTAACAAATCAAGAATTGAAGATCATGCAGGAAGATCTCACTTTCAAATCAAGTGAAATGCAAAAATCACAGAGTACAGCTAAAAATCTGGGTACAGGTAAGAGATGTTTTTATTCCATTACAAAAAACAACTCTTCCCCTTTTATATCTCAAGGACTCAGCTGTTTCATAGTTCATGCTCTCTATTCATCATTAAGATTTTAGCACTGGGAAAGATTTTTAATTGGACGAGTAGCTAAACTTAACAAATTCTATTAGGGAGTATTGAAAGGAAAGATTCATGAAAAAAAATAAGAAGCTATTTGTGGAATGTTATATTTGGAAAAGAAAAAAAATGCTTATAGTAGAGTTCTCCATAGATCTTTTAGAAACAGTGTCTTTGTTTTTCCCTGCTCCATAACTACACGGTGAACTTGTCTGATGAACTATGATTCAAGCAAATTATCGTAATATCTCAAGTTGACTAATTGTCTAGCTCTCTTTATTGAATTTTGTTTGATGGTATAAGCGGAAAGTGATAAAAAACAATAAAATGCTCAGATTGCCTATTAAAATTATATTTGCTTTCCCTTTTTCTGTGGGTTGAATGATTAGAGTTATGCTTTTGTATGAATTTTCCTTGCATTATATAAATAGGAACGTATTTACCATATATATTTAAATAAAATTTTTGAAACTGGTATAGAATCAGGCAAATACTGCTGATTTTCCCAAAAGTATGGATATGGATATAATGTTTCAAAAAAAATTTCAAGTAGGAGTTTTATTTACATCTTTCAGAAGCCATTGGGCACCAAATAACGTTACAAGGCATTGAGATTTTATGGATTGTGAATAAAAATAAAAGCACCATCAATTTTAAGAAATATTAATTTAGAAACAAACCATTTTGAGAGTCAAATCTTGACACATTCTGTATACTTTGTGTGCATCTTGCATGGGAACATTTGTGAAGTTGATTAGATCATAGATTTGTTATATCTGAATTGTGAATCTGTGGTTATTCTCTCTTTCTTAGCCAGGTCTTAAAACCAGAATTGTACTGTAAACAAATATATGAAGTGCAATTTAAAGGGAAGGTGAAAAAGGCAGGCAAACAAGGCAATTTTTTATTCTGTTTTAGTTCTCTTAATCTATTATTGTGGTTGCTGATTTGTTTAACCAACTATAAAAGGAAGGTGAGACTCTGCTGGTCTTGAAATCATGTATTTTACAATCTACACATTGCTGTTTGCTTAGTAACAAATCTTCCATATTTTGGAAAAGTTTTTCAAGGCTACAAGTTACCTCCTTGTGTAAAATACCACTACAGAGTAGTCTGCCTTTCCCTCCTTAAAGGAAACTTCTGTGAGTAAACAGATTTGCTGATGGCAGCATTTCCCACTAACGTTTCCCTAGGTCAAAGCACAAAAGCAATTTTGTCTCAGAATTTGCTACTATGTACACACTGCTTGCTGAAGTCTGTGACTTAGTGGCATATCAGAAGGAACTGGACTGCATCCTCTTCCTGTCTCTTCCCAGAGAGAAGGGTTATTTTTTTCCCCCCTTTTCCTTTCCTTTTTTTACTGTAGGAGGTATTTAGATGAAGAAAATTAGTACCTTCTCCAGATTGTTCAGCAAAGCAGCCTGTCTTATCCCAAAATTGTTGCTCTTTTGATATTGCTTATACTGTTTAGCAGCAGCTTTCTATGGTTTTAGATAGGAATCTGGAATTTGGATGTTCTTCACCAAGTGTGAACAATTGTTCAGCAGACAAGAAATAGTAAATATAGTACTATTTGTAATAGATTCTTTGGGTGCAATTCCAAAAGATTTAAGAGTACCACTTGAACACCATCAGCATTGATCATCGGCATTGACAAAATCACTATTGGTTAATTGCAAAAGGTAGCTTTGCTTGGAACAATTTACATCCTGAAACAATGTAGTATCTACCTACCTACCTATCCCAGGTCCTTGGGAAGGACTCCACATGTGCCCAAAAATGCCAAATCCTATATGAACATCTGGCTGACTATGTGACCATCCATAATAGATTTTTAAAATTTAAACATTTTAATTTAAAATAGCTGTGACTGTACCTTTTTCAGTTCCCAGACATTCCACAGTGCAGGAATTTGAATCCTTGAATCATTATTTTGGAGCACTAATCCATGTATCCTCAAAGCAGAAGGCCAGCCAGGAGAACAGGTTGACCAACTCTGAGACAAGGACTTAAGCCATATCCTAAGAAAGGAATTAACAATACACCATAAGGATTTTAAATGGTGATGATATGCACGCCTTTATCCCACTATGTTAATTTTATACCTCCGTATCTTGCATTGAAGCCTAAAAAAATATTTCAATCTACAGTATACAGTCAAGTAATTCTGAGATGTCAATATGTCTGCCTGAAATTCCCAGATGAGACCATGCACAGGAGGAAATGAGTATTCATATAAACGAGATTCAGTTATTATTTTTGGAGTATCTAAGGATTTGGCGTTTTTAAAACTGGACAGGTATCAGTCTATTTTACAATAAAAATGGTCAGATCACAGAATGCACTGTGTAGCAGCTGGATGCAAGTTCAGTATTTAAAAACATTTTTAAAATATGGCCTCAAAGCTCTATACCAGATGGACTGTATTGTGGGTCAACAAAATTGGTATACAAAGGATTGGTTTTTATTTTAATCATAGTAATCTGCTTTCTTTTCCTTCTAAATTACCAGCACAATCTCTAGAAGTTTATAACATTTTGGATCATTTAAAGCTAAGGAAGGCAATGGAATTATTTTCATTGTTCTTCATTTTAGTCAAAATATAAATGAAGAATAACAATCTTAATTTCAGTTTGGCAGCTTTTGCTGCAAGCAGTAAACTATTTCAGCACCAGTCTTTGCCATATTGCTAGTTCATCAGATAATGGATATTTGTATGCAAAAGATAACATTTTTGAGAGCTTTGCTGGATCAATGCCAAGGTGAATAAGGCAAGCAGGACTTGGTTGTCTTGTTGGATAAGTAAATGTGTTCTGTGATGGAAAATATGTATGTCAGTAATTCATACTAGTCTGTTTTCCTTTGTTATAGATAGTCAGAGACTCCAAATGGACCTCCAGAAGATGGGATTATTGGAGGGAAAGATGGTTGATGAACTAAGTTCACTCAAAGAAAAAATTGAACAGATGACCAAGGACCTGGAAGTATATAACAATCTGCCTGCTCTGAAAACAGCAGGAGAAGAAAAGAAAAAGGTAATCAGCAGTCCAAGTCCTAAAACCATAGAGTTACAAGGGATATTGGGAGTCATCTAATCCAATTCCTGCTCAGTGCTGCATCTACTAATAGAGTATCTCTGACAGATGATTACCAAGCCTCTCTTTGAAGACATCTAGCAAAGGAGAACTTGGCACTTTGTGCGGTAGCCTATTCCACTGGATGATACAGTCAGGAAATTCCTCCTGTTGTCTAGTTTTCTTATATAAGTAGGCCTTATTTAGCAACAGCCTTGTTTAGCTACTATTTTCAGTTACAGTGGAGATGAAAAAGTTGCTTTGCAAACAATGCTCACATTTATGACCTCCGCAGATTTGTAAACCAAAGGAAAACTAAAGTAAAAAACATAAGTGCAGCCACAGTTTCACTTAGTGATCATCCTGCTTAAAGGCCAAATTGCCAGTTCCAGTTGTGGTTGATACAGGTAGTCCTCGACTTATGACCACAATTGAGCCTCAATTTTTTTGTTGCTGAGTGAAACATTTGTTAGGTGAATTTTGCCTCATTTTACAACCTTTCTTGCCACAGTTGTTAAGTCAATCACTGCAGTCGTGAAGTTAGTAATCTGGTTGTTAAGTGAATCTGACTTCCCCAAGGTCACAAAAGGGGATCACATGACCCCGTGACCCTGTAGCCATCATAAATATGAGTCAGCTGCCAAGCATCCAAATGTTGATCATGTGACCATAGGGAGGCTGCAATGGTTGTAAATGTGAAAAACTGTCATAAGTCACTTTTTTCAGTGCCTGTAACTTCGAATGGTCACTAAACAAACTGTTATAAGTCAAGGACTACCTGTAAATGAGGATTACCTATAGTTTTAAGCACTGATTCCGATACTGCCTGCTAGAGCACTTTCTCTTTTTTGTGTGACAACTTTTTAAAAAGCAATTAGGAAATATGCTTGAGAACCAGTTCTTCAAAATGCAGACTAAAATATTTGACATTAAATTGTCTTTGGCCTGCTAAAACATATATATAGAAACTGCTCTTACTATATACCGTATTTTTCAGTGTATAAGTCGCACTTCCCCCCCCCCCCAAAAAAGTGGTTGGAAATGTCTGTGCGTCTTATACAGCAAATGTTGCCGAAGCCCCGCCCAGCTACCAGCCCCCACCCTTCAGCCTCTGCCTCCCAATAATTTACCTCCTTGCAGCAAACAGCCTGGTCAGCTTCAGCACAGCCTCATTTAGCACAAGCAGCTGATTGGTGGTTGGATCGGCCTCCCGGAATACCGCCTATCAGCTGTTTCACACTGCAGGGATTGTCGCTGCTGTCACCACCCATCGCTGCTGCCGCCTATCACTGCTTCTATGCACCCCATTTTCAGCCTCCACACGTCCTGTTTTTGGACAGGGGATAGGCAGCAGTGGCAGCTATCCCTGCCTCCTGGAACGGGCCAAAAATGGGACGTGTAGAGGCCAAAAACGGGGCACACAGAGGCCAAAAACGGGGCACACAGAGGCCGAAAATGGGGTGCACGGAGGCCAAAAATGGGATGCACAGAGGCGGCGATAGGCAGCAGCAGCAATGAGCGGCGATGGTGGAGATGGGCGGTGCAATCCCCACAGCCTGGAGCAGCTGATAGGTGGTATTACAGGAGGCTGATCCAACCACCAATCAGCTGCTTGTGCTAAATCAGACTGTGCTGAAGCTGAGCAGGCTGTTTGCTGTTTGCTGCAAGGAGGAAAATTGCTGGGAGCCAGAGGCAGATTTTTTTCCCTTGTTTTCCTCCCCAAAAGCTAGGTGTGTCTTATACTTTGGAGTGTCTTATAGTCTGAAAAATACAATAATCACTTTTGTACAGGGGTGGGCAACTGTGGCCCTTTTACAACCTGTGGACTTCAACTCCCAGAATTCCTGAGACAGCCAAGCTGGCTCAGGAATTCTGGGAGTTGAAGTCCACCGGTCATAAAGGGGCCATATTTGCCCACCCCTGCTTTTGTAGGATTATGCTCCACCGCTTGCACCCAATAGGGCTTGCACTGTTAACAGCACAATGAAATAATGCAGGGCTATTTCCCTCTATCTTATCTCAACTGAGTATGGCAGAGCCATTTGATGTGTCAGTAATAACTCAAAATAGTTGCAATACTCACATATTTACTGCTGCAACCTAAGATACAAGCCAGCTGCTTCAAATGGCTTCCCATTCTTCCTGGTAGAAGGTTAATAATCAGACTGGTTAAAAAATTTTTTAAAAAATATCAGAGAATGCTTAGAAACCATTTTATGCCTAAAATCGAAAAGTCATTAAAAATGTTCTTTAAAAATTTTCTTAAATTTATTTTTTTCCGTATACAGCCAACAGTCTTCTCACTTGAAAGAAATACTGTGAAAATTAGTGATGCTTCCTTGTAGGAATGGATGTTTAGAATAGGCGATAAATAAACCCAAGCAAAACAGGCTCTCCTTCTTTTCTCTTGCAGTGGGATCAGTTGTCTCCACATCACTCTCCCATTGCTTTGTTCTTTTTGTAAGAAGGTGCATTTTCAGGCTATCCCACCTGTTTCCTTACCTTACAGAACTAAAAGTGCCTGCAAGGAGAAGATGGTGTTGGTATAAATGATGATTTAAAGTGTTGCCAGTAATGCAAAACAGCTTGATGTTATGTTTGTTTATTGTTTATTCTTGTCAGAAGCATCACAGTTAAAATAAGCATATTCTGATATAAAATTTAAAATATAAAATACAAGATTGAGGTTATGTTAAATGCTAATAGTATTTGGTATGGAATTCATCCAGCTTTTATTCACCTTCACCAGTGCTTGTATTTACTGTTTTCTTAGCTTAAATATGTTACCATAATTTATAGTACTAAATTATATGGTGAATTCAAATTCTATTTTTATGGTATTTCTACCTGGTATTATGATTGTAATAAACAGTAAATAACACATTTGATAATTGGGTAAATAAGATAAGGTACAATATAAAATAATGGCATATAAAATAAATATAAAATGTTGGAATGCCAAAATGAAGACACAATGCAAAAAAATCCTATTCCTGCTAGGCAAATATCTGAAGGATGTGACACAACTAAGAAGGTTTCTGATAGATATAAGCAGGAAGGACTCTGATATGAAGTGGACATAATCCTAACCCAAATTCCAAGAAAACTCTTAGTAGCTTTCAGGCTATCAAATGTGTAATTAAAACACAGTTAAAAACATAGCATAATGAAATATAATTTCCTGGATAATTCAAGAACAATAACATTCAGAAAAGCTGAAAAAAAATCATGGCAGGGACTCTACAATCACCCTAAACCCAGTTCCAGGAGCAGAACCAGGTCTTAAGGGACTTAGAAAAGACTGGAAACATATATCTGGGGGAATAAAGGACAGGAGCTGTGATAGAAAAGATGCATTTCCTTGGATCCATAATATGACATTTATAAATTTTATAGATACATTAAGGCTAAAGCTTTAAACGCAGTTAAATCAGCAGCTAGTGCAATTCTTTCAATAAACAGTGTTCTGTGACAATAGCCCAGTATACTAGATAAGCAACCATGCCTATACTTTTTGCACTAGAATCTGTTTCTGAACCACTGTTCATCCTTTTTTGTGTGTTTTTCTTAACCTATACAACAGCAATGATTCCTAGTTTCTGAGTGCTCCTTTTGTTCTTAGCTTTAACAGATAAAAAGTACATATAGCTGTGATAGTTTTGTGCCACACTTTCCCCATGAGAAAAAAAATTGCAGATTCACTTCAGCAATTTTCTTTTAATATTTTGTAACTGATAAATGGAGTCTAGATTTAAATCCCTTCTGTTTCTTCTTTATGCTAAGAGCTGTTCCCCAGGTAAAGCTTTTTTGGATATGTTCTTACTGCTTAATTTGAGTCTTGAGGATTGGAGTTTGTTGTGTCCTCCTTCAATATGTTATTAACCATTCCAATTTTATCCTACTATATATCTTTCTAATAGATCTGGAATAGAACCTCCCTTTTTACAATCCTATAATCCCTTAGATCCTTTATTCTAATTGTGCATTATTTATATCAAGTGTTTCAGCATTTAAGTACCATTTATTACTGTGAACAAAAGATTTTATGAGAAGAGGAAATGGGTTAGAAAGTAAAAGCTAAGAAAAAATAGCAGAAGCCAATGTGTTCATAAACACTGGCTGGGAATCAAAATTAAATCTACAGTGTGTGCATGAGCACAGCGAAAGAGAAAGAAATGATTCACATAAAAGATATGAATTTCTAAAGAAATTAGAAGTCTGGATTCATGCAAATCTTCAGGTTTTTATTTTTCCTATTGCTAAAAATTAGAATAACTTAAAACTGAAGGCTGGCCACTTCAATTCTACTCTGAAAAATCAATTCTATATTATTTTATGTGCTCTTTATGGTAAATGCTGTGCTGCAAACTTAATTATAAATATAAATACTTTTTCTCTCCTTGAGTGGTTTGACTTTATATTATTTCCTCATGCTAAGAAACTGCAAGAAGAGAAAGAAAGATTGACCAAACATCGGGATGCATTCAAGAAAATTATGGAACATTTGAATAGAGAATATGAAGGCCTAAAGTTGCAGCTCCAGGAGAATGAAACACATGCACAGGTAAATTGTTAAGGATACACTAAATTGCTTCAAAAGTTCTCGAGACGAATGTTTTAACGTGGGCATACAGGATGTATTTTATCGTAAATACCTCTGATGGCAGATTTGAATTAAAAAGGAGGATGGAACTCAGCTTTCTGAAATGAACATAGAGGCTACTGTTTTGCAATAATATAGGGTATGTGAAAGCTGTATAAAATTTTATAATATGAATTGATAACTTTCGATGCTGAGTATGTCACAGAAAACAATTAATTATAAAACATGATGCTTGTGGTTTAGTATTTTATATCTCAAAATGTATTGGTAAATAAAATTTAAAGTATTTTTCCAACTCAAATACTAATGGACAATTGTTATTTTAATGTGTACAATGGTTTATATTCTAATTTTCCATTTACAGTGTTGTAAATGTGTGTGTTCTTGAAGTAAACATGTTGACTTCCACAGAATGTTTTTGAAAGTTTCATTGTAAGGAGCCAACATGTTTTGATTCCAAAGGTTTGAACAGCAATATTAGGCAAGCAAACTGCTGCTAGTATTTTTAGGAAGCAGCCATAAATATAATAGCCATATAACCTTGTTATTTATGCTCAGCGAATGGCTAAAATTCCACTGTTTAACTTATTGTGTTAGACTATTCTCAGCACAGACCCGGTTCTTAATCACACATTCTGCCATCAGACAGGAAATTCAGCTATGGAAGTGAGGAAGTTTCTCCCTCTTAGTGCAGAGTATACTATAGTTTAATATGAGTAAAATATTTTGGAAGCAATTGTTGACTCCCCCCCCCCCCCCAAAAAAAACAGACTAGGAGAATTCTGTGCCTTATGTAAAGCAAATCTTCACTGTGATGGATTGTTATTTGAATAGTTTGTCACTATAAAAATAAGTTTGTGTTTATTTATTTATTTGACTTTTATTCTATCTTTATTATTTTTATAAATAATTCAAGGGGTGTGAACATACATGATATTTCTTCTATTTTCCTCACAATGACTACCCTGTGAGGTGGGTTGGGCTGAGAGAGAATGACTTAGTCCAAGTTCATCTAAAGCAGGACTAGAACTTGCAGTCTCCCAGTTTCTAACCATTAGAAACCTAATGGTTAGCACCCTAACCATTAAACCTGTGTGTGTGTGTGTGTGTGCGCGCGCACAAACACACATGCATACATACAACACACATGTACATAGAGAAAGAGAAGATTATACCGCAATTAGTGTTAATCAGAATGCTTAATAGAAAGCAACATAGCTAAACAGTTGAATAGAAGGGAGGTCAGTCTTGTGTTAAAAAGTGGAATTTCAGTATTCATTCCTGTTGTTACCATATTTTTCGTTTTCTACCTTCAGCTTACAAATCTGGAACGGAAGTGGCAACACCATGAACAAAATAATTTTGTTATGAAAGAATGTATCCTTTTTGTTTTCATAAATAGCATTACTGTTGTCAAATACTGCAAATTATTACTATTACTTCCTTCAAAGCACCAGTCTTTATTAAGCCCTTCTGACATTTATTCTGAATAAATTTGGTGCAGATATATATTTTTTTCTGAATACAACGAGGGCACACATCAAACACTTACAAATTGTACTGAGTTTAATAAGAAAGTAAATCAGATGCAAAAATTGAGGCTTCTTAAATATTGTCTACCTTCTCAGATCACAGTGAACTAAAAATATAATCTACTTTTTGTGTAAAGTAATATGCAAATATGTTATTTGATTAAATACAGTAGTCATCTGGTTAAATACAGCAATTAGTTTAGAGTGGTTGATGGTTGCTTCTTTGCTACAGGGTTTATATGTAGTTTATTGGGTTGATTTGACCAATAGAGGTTCTGCCAAGATTTTGAGATGGGTAACAAAAGTAGTTGCACAACTGAATGTTCTTTCCATTCAGCCATTTTCTAGGATGAAATTCCAGATAACCACAGCAAGCATGTGTTTCCATTGTTCCTTCTCACTGCTGAGTGGCACTTTGTGTAACAGTAATTTCTCTGTGATCATACCTATAGACTTTTTAGAGTTCCTTGCCCAAAAAGAGTCAGTGAGGTCACAGTAAGGCGAAGCTGTACCAATTTTCAGTGTAATAAGGGCCTTTACGGTGCTTAGCATCAGTAGAATTCACCATTGGTTATACACGGTACACAAAGCGGAGAGATGGTAGTAAAATCCTGTACACAGGGACATGATGGAATTTAACATCTGTCCTATCTTATTCTTACATCTGGCATCAGTAGTAAATCCAGGTGCGAACACACTAAATCACTACAGGAAAAAAGAACCTTACTGTCTGGGATTTTTAGGCATGCCTTTCTGTATTGTGTGAATGTACCTATTAGGAGGATCAGACTTATTTTCAACTTCTTGACCCAGGAGTATGATATTGGGGGGAGGGGGGGAGAGAAGCTGGCTCTTTATACAATGGAAATCAATTCACACTTTATAAGTTATTACGATATGCATGGATGTTCTGCAAATATTCCTTTTCCCTCCAAAGAGATTGGATTGGTTCAGAAGTGATTATTGATTGTTTTTAGAAAAGAATGGATTTTGCTAATTGAATCGTGTGAGGTTTAACCTGAAATCGAGAATGATTGCAACAGCTTAACCTGCTGCCATATTGTCAGTGGCAAAGTTCGCTTAATTCATGGTTAATGAGAGCGCATCTTGTTGAAAAAATTGCCCTGAGTAGGAATTTTTCCCCCAGTATGGCCTCAGTTCTTTAGGCATTAGGAGTTGATGGCGTTTCTTATTGGTAGCTTTTATATTTATTGGATAACTTTTTCCTTAATTGATATAATCAAGTTATAGCTACAAAAAGCCAAGAAAGTGACTACCGGCCCATAATGAACGATGTCATGAAGGAAGTTGAAGAATATAACAAAACTATAATAGAAGCTTTACAGAGCAGCAAGAATTGATCCTAGATCTGCCTATCCTGGATGGACCAAATTAAGGATTTACATACAGTTATTTTGAAGAATGTTGACATTTGAAGGCTCTCCAGTTCACGTTAGTATAACCTGTGTGCCTTTTTTTCCCGTATTCTAGGGAGTATGATAGACCCATGCCAGGGACATTTGTTTGTTTTCCTTTGAATTAATTCTGTATTGTAAAACAATTGTTCAATTAATATTCTTTAATTTATATTTGTTTTGCTTTGTTAAATAAGCAATATAGTTTGATTTACATCATTTTACAAAACAGTGTGATGGTAAGTACACTGTAGTGCTTAAGTTTCTTCTTAAAGTTGTAACTGCAAAAGCAGAAAATGTTATTATTCTATATTTCTATTTATCTTGATATATCAGAATTGTTCTACATTGAATTGTGTTTAAGAAGCATAAGGATATTAAAATAAAGAAATTTAAAAAGTGAGCCTGTATTTTTCTCCCCAAAAAATTACGCAGTAAAGGTCATATGTAGCAAAATGAATATCTAAGTAAATTCTTTTTAGCCTCAGTATCTGAGGAATCCAGGGACTCCAGCTTGAAATAAGCTGCCTGACTTGAAAAATTCAGAGCATTCTTTCTATCTGAAGCATACAAGGTTCTTATGGAGTCACATTCTTGCTCTAGGAGGATAAAACTCCCAATGGGATCAAGAAAACAGCAAACCAGAAGTACTGTGTTGAAAAGGGAGTCATCGTGAATGAGCAAAAACCAAATCAGCTCTTCTTGTTGACCCATCTCCCTTGTTCCTAAGGGATCCTTCTGTGAGTAATGGTCTGTTTGTAAAACCCCATTGATAAGCCCGAATAAGAAAAGCAAACAGAGCAAAAATGTGTAAGTAGTTTTTTTGATTGATACCAACAGGCCAGATGACTCCCTTTCCTCACAGTTTTAATAACTTTTTCATGCTGCTTTATCTTTCCAATGGCTGGTCAGTAACCTGGTAATTTCTGAGGAACTCAGGAATAACTAAAGAACAGTTACACAGATTGGCTAATGCAAAATAAAAAGAATGTAATCCAATTTTTTAAAAATCGAAGTATTTGGAACTGTATTTCTAACAGATTTTGGCTTTTTGTTCTTGTTGGATGGTTGCATTATTATTATATTGAACCTTTGCATCCTGAACCAAAGACCTTTGCATGAAATATTTATTTTTATTATTTCATTTATTTCCTGACTTTCATCCAAGTTCTCAGGATGGCACACTCAGAAGTCTCCATTTTGTCTCTGCAGTAGAAATGTTATGACAGGCATCCTGTAGCTCATTTCCAAATGGTTAGTCAAACAAGCCAATGGCTTCACCATCATGGATATATCACATATTATACTAAGCCCAAAAGAAACCACCTGATGATTTAACATTATGTCAGTGTTTGCCCAAAATCTTTCAAATGAGTTTCCTTAGACTAGAATTTGACTGTGGCACTACATTATTTCATGCTTGTGCTATATTTAATGAGGGAGGAGTTTTTAAGTGTAAAAATGTACAAAAATTAGTGATGTTTATCAGACATGCTAAACTGACTTGCCATAGACTTGATAGATTGTATAAATCTGGAAGATGGATTGAAGAAGTTGGTTTATTTAGTTTTGCCTATATTTTTTGGCAGATTAAGATAATTTCTTAACCAGTCAGGTATCTGGGTGGCTAAACAAGCAAACAAACAAACAAACAAATGTTTTTATCAGAGATTTGCAGCAACCCTAAGAAAATGGCAGAATTTCCTCTGTCCCAACAGCTGATTTTTATTCGGCCTCAGAAAAGAGGCTAGTGGGAGATCTTGCCCTGACAGCTTTTAAAGTGGAACAAGTTAAGCAAAGTGGTTGATGGATAGATATCCTGCCAGCTCTCCTGAACATGGTTTGCAGCAAGGGAACAGATGTGTTTTGACTGGCAGATTTAACCAGCTGTTTTCCTCTCCTGCCTTACCAGGAAGTCCCCATTTGCCCTATGAATTAGAATTACAGTATGTATGGTGTCCATTGCACGGATGATCACTCTCTTCCTGTTTCACATTGCTGGGTTGTTTATCTTCTCTTGTTTCATCATTCTCATTCTCTCAACCATCACCTGCTCCTCTGCATCACTCTCTGTTGTTAGCTCTACCATTCTAACACTTGCTCCCTCATCAGTGCCACCATCTCAATTACTGGTCTCCATCACCAATTCCAACATCAACTATTATAACAGCTCTATAATTGGCTCTATTGCAGGTCCATCATAGCTCCATCATTTCATCTCTATCACTGGCTCCATCACTAATGCCACCTTGTCAGATCTGTTTTTGACTAGTTGTTGGCTCTTGCTGGTTCTATCACCTCTAGGAGCAACTCCACTGGTTCCATCACTGACTTCCCTGCCATCTCTTTTTATCTATTATAAACATTTATCATAAGTGCATTATTATCTGCACTATGATTTGGGTGGGGTTTTTTGTGTGCGTGTTTCTACACCTATGCGATTCATATATTTTTTGCTCTCACCTTTCTCTCTTACTCTTCTGCTTTTCATTTACTTATCTGTGTTGTCTTCTTTCTCATTCTGTGTTTCAAAAGTAGGTATTTGGGGGTACTATTAACAGATACCAGTGAGTCAGGGGTGAAATCCTACCGGTTCGCACCGGTTCAGGCGAACTGGTAGTGATAAAAGCTACAGGTTCCTCCAATCCGGTATTTCCGATGATCAGCCTTGCTGTGCAATTTAAAATTGCTAGAAAGCAGGAAATTCTGCTTTCTAGTGAATCTAAATTGCGCGACACAGCTGTTCCTCCCCCCACTGTTCTACTTACCTTCCCAAGCCTCCTTTTTCTGCACGAAGCATGCGTTTGGCACGTATTGTTCATGCGCATGTGCAGCATGTGTTTTGTGCGCAATGCGCATGCACAATGCGTGCTTGGCACTCACCGTGCATGCACAAGCAGCAAACTGGTAGCAAACCGGGGAAGATTTCACCACTGCAGTGAGTAGATTCTCATGCTTCAGCCACTACTAGTCAGGAAGATGGAAAATAACACATTAACATCATATTGGATAGTTAGGTAGACTCGGCTATGGGCTGAAGATGAAATGAAGACTGCTGTCAGCACTAGAGTAAATGCAGGTTTGAAGATGTGACCTTAGAAATAGTTGGTGCATGTTCCGCTACAGACAGGGCAACATGTTGAAGAGCTCTCAGTCTTTAAACCACTGCTCATATCATCAGAAAGTGAGGTTAATTCTCCAGGATTTGAACTTTCTTGGATTTATACAATGCTTACAGAACCAGTTAATTTAATCTCTTCTGATGATTAGAGTTACACTTCAAAAGAAATGAGTTTTCAGCTTTGCCTGGAGGAGAATTTTCTTTCATTTTAGAATAATGGAACACAATAGACCACTACCTATTTGACATTGTGCATTTGTTGATAGCCAGAAGTCACCAACACTTCACTCAGCAGTGTAGGTAAGATGCAGAACAGAATAGCACACCCATAGCTTTGGAAACTATTAAAGGAGCTGAATTTGTTCTTCTGAACAACTTTATAAAAGCTTCGTCTTAGCTTCATCCATTTTCTAGCATCTGGTTCCATTTTTTGCTCCATCTGAAGAGAAAACAAAAAGAAGATGCTGTTTATTAAAATGGCAAGTTTAGGGGTATCCTTGCAGAATTGCCAATTTCCTGCTTCAACCTAATAAATCTGCTTCATTCTGTTTTTCATATCGTAATATCTAACTAAGACAAAACAGGATTTCTATAGACCCAAGCCTATTATCTAGGGGAAATTCCCACTAATATCTCTTCCTTCCTTTTGGGGAAAGCTTTCAGTTATTCCAGTGAGACTTTCTTTTTTATTATTAAGATAAAAGTTGGTCTCTAATAACTTCACAGGAGTCCTTTTGTAGGTCACTTGGTTTATCCATTGAAATCCCCCATGCTACAATAACATATTTTGATGTACAGTGGACAGAAGTCACTCTCTGAGTAAACACACTAAATGAAATTTCATTGTGCTCTTCATATGGGGTCAGTTGTGACATGGCACTGATTTTGCAAAACAGCATGGGAAAGTTCCCCAGCCTTGTGTCTCTACTTCGCGGGGTATCTACAGTAATAAAATCTTGATTCTAAAGATACAACCCCTGATGTTCTCTCTTGCAAAGCTTATTTCTTACCTATAGACATCTCAATCATTTTTTTAATCTGTATCCCACTGCTTTGATATTTAATGCTAGAAACATTTTCTGCCTCGGAAGGTGAATATATTCTTCAATTTGCTTTTTTTAAAAAAATAAGGCCTAGGTTGTAATACAAAAGACACAGCTGTATGAAATGATACTGCAGTGACCAAACCTGGAAAAGCAAGTATTTTGCACTAATCTAATGCTAGCACAACAGTTTCTCTGAGAATTCTCACTTGCATGAGCTATGTACAGTTGTGTTATGTCTTTCTACTGAGCATTTGAATCAGAAGTAGGTTTTTCTATTGGCTTGTTTTATTGTAACTTGATTCCAGTATTTGAGAGGTTGCCATAAAAAGGATTATTTTCCAAAGCACCAGAGGGCAGGACAAGAAACAATGGATGGAAACTAATCAAGGAGAAAAGCAACCTGGAATTAAGGAAAAGCTTCTTAACAGTGAGGACATTTAACAAGTGGATCAGCTGGCCTTCAGAAGTTGTGGGTGCTTCATCACCGGAGGTTTTTAAGAAAAGACTGGACAGTCACTTTTCTGAAATGGTATAGGATCTCCTGCTTGAGCAGGGAGCTGGACTAGAAGACCTCCAAAGTCCATTCCAGCTCTATTATGATTCTAATTCCAACTCTACAAGATGCTAATCAAGAAGTAATAGCAATAATCCAATGTGCTACGGATGGCACAAAATGACAGCCTTTATGTATCAAAAGTTACACACACACACACACACTATTATATATTTAATTAACCATAATTTTGTCCACAATTACTATATAACTCTGCTTTTAAAATGAAATATAGGCGGGACTTTGTCTTCAATGTTTGGAATAGGAATCCATCTTCAGTTCAAACATGACTTTGGAAACTTAGTTGTTGTGCTGTTTCTACACCTGCTCAGTGGTGGGTTGCCCCCGGTTCGCACTGGTTCTATAGAACCGGTAGTAAAACTGGTGGGAGGCGCCGCCCACCGCCCCGACGTCACCAAAATGCTTCTGCGCATGCGCAGAAGAGCACACACAAGAGTGAAGTGAGCTGCACGCCCAGCCCCATTGTGAACCGGTAGTAAAGGTAAGTAGAACCCACCCCTGCACTTGCTATATCATTTTGAAAATCTAACTTCTAAGAAGTGTGTTACTCTTGACTGATAGAAGTTAAGTATCTGTTCTAGGATTTGATGAAGTACAGATCTTGAGATATTTTAATAGTTGTATAAGACAGGTACAGCCGTCACTGATACATTACTGCAAAG